TCTAATTACAGAAACACATTTCCTGCCTCAGGCCAGCAGTAATCCCCCCCCTCCACACTGTCCGAGATCATATGAAACAGTTTGCTTATCTTCCATGCTTGATCCTGATACGCTATACTTTATCACAAAATCGAGCTATTGCAACGTCAGAACGTGTGTGAGTTCAGCTCCAGAAAACTGGAGCAAAGCCTTTCCACTCGAATGTGCTTTGGCATCAATTCGCCTCGACAGTCAACCCTGATGTTGCTCTGCCAGTGTGTCCCGGACTCTTCACACACGACTTCCTCTTGTCTCTTTTTTTCTGCTTTACTCTGCTCCTATGCCAATTAAATTGATCTTTCCCCATTTCTGCCTACCCAAACCACTTATTCTTTATAGACAAGTACACACACACTCCTGTCTGAGAGAAATTATGTCAAGACAGACATACAGACACACAGACAGACAGATAGATGGATGGATGGATGGATGGATAGATGGATGGATGGATGGATAGATAGATAGTGAGCAGTTTATGTGGTGAAGACATCTCGGTGACCTCACTGTGAATGAGATAAAAATAGCCACAAGGGGTGATTTTGGTGTGAAATCTTATAAGAAAAAGGAATATCGGTCCATGAGAAAAAGCATATGTAAAAGGTTGTCTGCAGTCTACCCCCTTTCAATGGTTTATATCCTGTCCTTTTCTTAATGTCATGTAAATTAGTCATAACCTTATCAAAAATGCCCCGAGAAGCATAAAAGTGAACTAACATGTGAATTACAAAATGTTATTTTCCCCACTGTGACATTATGTAAAAACACAACACAAAGCCTCCCCTTTAGAAAGACGTTTTGTTCATGGTATCTGCAATCAGTTCATTTCTCATAGCCGAGGCTTTTTGGATTTAATCTGAGTGAAGCCCAACAGAACACACCGTGCACATGCTGTAATAACTGGGAACTAGCTGTGAAAGGGAGCTGTCAGCTGCCTCTTCGTTGGATAGCTCGAGCTGTTATGCACGTTGTTTCTAATGAAAGAGGACCAGCTAAAAAGCTTTGAAGTGTAAGAACAAGCCTCAGTTTTTAAAATGAGATGATCTTGAGTTAGCTCTGGTGCTTTTTTTATGTCCATCAAAGAATCCTGCTCATATTTTCGAGGTGTTTCTGTCAGCCATAGGAGAGGAAAATCATTTCCTCTTTTTTATCTGTGTGTTTGATGCCTGTGCCGCATACTCTCATGGAGTTCATTGCTGAATGAGTTTTCAGACCTTTCAGGCTAAATAAGGACGTTAATTACTCAAAAATGTAATGCTCGTCTTCATGTCACCAACATGTCAAACTTTAATTCATGCCAGAAAACAAGTAATCCACTTAACAACTGTTAATCATACATAAAAGAAATGGGAAAGACTTTAAATAAAAAAGAGAATACACTCATTCCTCACATTATAAGGCTAACAGGAATTTACATGATTAACTTATTGTATATTTACCAGTGTTGTACAACAATTACATCAGCTCTAAAGTTTTCTTTAACTACTGTACAATATCTTTACAGATTTTCTATTTCCAATTTTTTAAGCAGAACAAGTTCTGTTTAATCTTAAAATATAAACTTCTACTATTAAACTCTTCTGAATACACACTTCAAATTTAAAATAATGGCTTTTGAGTTTCACATCTACTGCAGAACAACAGTATAGGGCAAACTGCACAATTATTTAGTGAATCGTTCACTAATGTGTGTCTGTACATCAGTGCAGCTCCTGGCTTTTTGTCACAGCGGTTATTTCTAAGGTTTTAGGAGAAAACCTACAATAGAGACTGCTCTTCATAATAAGGTCTGTGTTTCACATGTTTTTTTTAAAGTGCAGGAGTGACACAGATGATGAAGGTTTAGTTACGGACATGATCGTTCAGTAGCTGTGCTCTGGCTCTGAGGCTTCAGCAAAAAGATGATTGGTGGGAAAGCTTTGAAGGAGACAACAAAGCACAATAGCACAGGGAGAACAAGATGAAAGTTAGACCCTACGACTACATCTGTTTCCATTCGTATGGAAGAACATGTAAAGGAGGGACAGATTAGCTTTTATTGATGTTTTTGTATTGTTATTGCCTCATATCTACTCTAATATGAAGCTCTGAGTGAAACGAACAAGCACTGAGAAATAAGATCATGCAAACCCTTTTTAAAATAATATTTCTTGTGTTTATATTAAATTAGATGCAAGAGATGTGCCAGAACTGTAAAAAATAGCTCCTGATCACAGAATAAAACATTGAACTTCAGAACAGTTTGTTTCTTTCTGGCCAAGGTTGACAGATTTTTTTTTAGCAGTCTTTTGTATTTTTTAACACTGGCTTTGCAAAAACAATCTTAACATGCCACAAGGAAAAATGCGTATCAATGAAGAAAAAGGGATTTTAAAAATCTCTTATTTCTCCTGCTTTCATTGTGTTGAACTGCTGAAGCGCTGCGTCATCAGTTGTTGTTCATGATCCACCAAGAAGCTGCAAAATAAAGAAATACATCAATGTCTTATGTTCTCGATTGAGTCTGGTAATTTAGCAGTCTCACACAGAGGAATCATACAATTCCTGATCAAATTCAGCACTAGTAATGCAGATATTATAAAGCATGGATCACTTAAAAGCATCTTGTTTAAATGAAAATGAAAAAAATAATTTGAAAATGCATAGTCACAATAAATGCCACTGTTTTCTCATACCAACTAAAAAGATTTAGAATTGAGTCAAACGCGGGACCCCAAAGATTCTGAGCGAAAAAAAGAAAGTCTTTAGGACTTGTTTCTACCTGGGAGAAGCATGGTGGAGACAATCTCTGGCTCTTCTAGTGAGTCAATAATGCAGCCCTGGAAGGTCTTGCTGATGGATGACTGAAGGTAGCTGAGAGCACAGAGTAATGAAAGGAATGAGTGCACTTCAAAGAGAGTTTCTGAGCAGCTCTGTGTGTTGGGCAGCATTGAGATCAGCAATAAAATTCCCCCGGGATGTTTTCCGGTTGAAATAGTATTAATAAAACACCTAAGCATACCTCATCCAAGAGAGACGATCTTGCCAAAATTCATACATGATGAAGCACGATCTGTCTGGCAGGGTCTGGACTGAAACGCTAGAAACAATCACAAACAAGAGGAGGGTGAGCGTCTGATCTTTGAAATGAAAGCAATTTGGAGAAGCTGCATGAAATCAAAGCGAGAGGCTGAGGGAAATAACAGCAGAGAGGCAGAGCAGGGGGCGTACTGCAGGTTGTTCAGCTGGCTGCTCGTGGCGTCCGTGTAGACTTTGAGCGCTTGTTGAAACTGATCCACGTCTTTCTCCTTCACAGACATTTGTCTCTGGATGAGAAGTATATTCTAAAAAATATGAAAAAACACTTTAACATTAATTTATGTATGATAAAGGGAGAAATGTTTGATCATTAATTAACCATAAACATTTTCTTATCTTTATTTAACCAACAGATTGAAACAGGAATTGCATACAAATATCTGCACAATTGCTAAAAATATATACAATATAACCTTATGTCCAAAATAACACATATTTTTTCAGATAGCATTCATCATTAGTTGTTTCAGTTGTCAATATTTATGACAATTGGTATTTTGGACCAGTCCTTTTCTTTTTATATTTGAAGCTTTCCTTGTCGTCCTGGTTTTAAACACCCTGGCAATATCTGGCTCAGATATGCTATGCAATGCCAAAATCTTTGTCAAGCTCATCATTTAGTCTAATTTCCTTATGAAGGGACAAAAAATGCTCTGAGTAAGCATCAGCATTCGTGGACACTGACTCAGATTAATCATGATGGCATTTATAGCGTACTGCTCCAGGAGATTTTTCACTGTGGAACTCCTTATACTGTTTTATTATGCATTGTATTTCATTACCATTGTCACTATATATGACCCGGACATGGTTTACAACTTTTTCCAATCATTTAAAGTTGATTGAAAGATCTACATGACAGGCTAAATCTCTTTTGTTTAAAAATAATTATCAGGAGAAACGTTTGAACATTGTTAATTTTTCTTCTTCATATTTACCTTTAATCTCATACAGAGAGGGTGTAACAATGGTTCATACATATAAAGCTCATGGTACACGTACCGATTTATACGTGCCCGCCAACGTGTCTTCTTTGAGAGGTTCGAGATGCGGACTCTGAAAATGGGAACACATATTTTTCAGTATATTCTCACAAAACATTTACCATGTTCATGTAAACGCTAACGATTTCAATTAGGTTTCTTTCTGCATGGCTGGAATCAGCAGGTCAAGCTCAGCGTCACTTCATTCAATATTCATCGCTTAATAAAAAAATCCATCCACCATGACAGCAGCATCCCAAAACTATCAATGCTCTTCTACATGCAACCCCTTAATTTTTTACAGTTTCATACCATTCAAAACAAACAACTCCACTCAGTATCCAATCTGAGAAGAGCACTTCATGTATTCACAAGCTGATTGCGTATTCATAATATTCATAGTGTTTAGCTTTTGCACTTTATTACAAATATTGGACATTTTTATGCTGCATGGCAAGCTGTATCTGCAGAAGCACAGTAGAATCTGTGAGGTCCCCTTGACATGTTTATCTGGAGACAGAGGCTGTGGCTGAAATTGATAGACTTGCTGAAAAACTGCACTCAATCTCTGGATGAAATCAGTGAAGTTAAAACTTACTTGTCTCAGCTTCACATATGAGCTACTTGGTCTTGTTTTTATTAAAGACACATCAAGCCACTACTTTTTCAGAAAATAAAAAGGCTGAAGTCACTGTTGCTGAACACGAACCGGCCGCGAGAGAAGTTAACCTCAGCATAAAGGCTGGAGGAAGATTGACAGTACCGGATTTTGTACAAACCTCACAATCCAGCTTGTCAATGAGTTGCTCTAGCTGGTTGATCTGGGAGCCCCAGTGGTTGTCTGGCTCCACGCTGACCCCTAAAACCAGAAACGAGAGTAACGGCATATTCAATTAACACAAGTGCTTCTGTTTTCGTTTTGTTTTTCCTTCTGAACCGGAGTCCTGCATTATACCTGTGGTGAGCATGCCGGAGTAGGGGTCTGTAGGTGAGACACACATGTTCTTCTGGATGCGTCGTCCAGGTCGTTTGGGGACCCTTTGGATCGGCAGGTCCTCGGGCTTCTTGGATATCCTCCTCCCTGTGCAGCCGTGGTCGTGGACAGCCTCCATCGCACAATCCAGTGAGGACTGCAGGGACTGCAGCTGGGTGGAGGTTTCCCTCAGGAGGAAACGTGTCACAAACTGACCCAGAACTGATGAGCCCTGATACTCCTGAATCAAAGAAGCAGTAAAAAAAAAAAAGAAAAACTGTAGAGTCAGCCAGAAACCCTTCTGTGTGGATACAAGTAAAAAACGGACACTGACACTAAAAACATGATTTCTGCTGTGAGGCTGCCTAAATACTAAAAGCTCTGGTAGAAACAAAGGTATTACAAAGGTAACAAAGGGGAGGTCATACTAACTGCGCCGCCTCTCTAAGGTGCTCTTTTTTTCTATATTCCTAAACCTTCCTTACACTTACTTTTCACTTTCATTTGCCCAGTCCCAACAGATTGAGAGCAGGTTGCTGCCATCAAATTTATTCTACCATTTTCATGAATCTTTTCCTGAATTGTTTTGACTCACTGTCTATCTGCTACTGTGAATAAAATTGTTAAAAAGGTCTGTACAAATCTTTGTAATTGGCTTAATTTGCATTTCTTATAGTGTCCCAGCATGTTGGAATTCCTCTCTCTGTGTAACATTAATGAATGCCACTCATAGTTTTAATGATTAATCCCCAGATTTACTGACAGCCGGTTCCAGCGGCCGTTCTGAGCTCTGTAAGTTTATTTGCAGAGGCAGTTTGAGTGTTTGTGGATAATGAACCTCCTCACCAGCACCCTGTAGTGACGACATAAAGTTTCAAAGAGGGGACGGATGAATGTTACCAAAACTATCAAAGAGTGCGTCTGTGTTTCTATATTCTCTGTGTGTCTCAGTGGCAAAGAACATCTGATTAATGGACCTTTGTTCTTTCCTCGATTTCTCCATTTCTCTTTGTGACAGATGAGCTGAGACAACAGAGTGGATAAATTCAGTCTATCTCGGGGCGATACGGCAAAGCGGGAAATGCATTTTAGTCTGTTGATTTCATTATTCTACCATTTCTGTTCCCAGGCATCGGAAAAAGCTTCAAGTTTAAGAGAGTTTAGTGGATAGATTTCCCTACAGCGAACTCAGTGGTGACCGAGCACCTCTACACGATCGGCTGCATGTCGGTCGAGCTGCTTTATTTGCAAGGGCTAATCTCGGGAAGGCTGAGAATAGCCTCTCCCGTCTGCAAAAAAAAGCTTATTTCTTCTTACAAACTAACAGCCACATGAAAAATGCATGAGCTGTAGAAAAGCCTGTGTGATACAAAGAATGTGGGAAGTAAAAGAGAAGGAGCCATGCAGAAGGATAGAGCCAGAGAGGATGAATGTAGAGAGAGATAGGAGATTAAACAAAGAGAAAGAAAAACGCCTCAGTAAACAACAGTGTGGAGGGGAAAAAATTCATTACAGCTATGGGATTGTCGCTCTCTAAAGGACCTCTGATTTTAGACCTGTCGGACGGGTTGGGGGTTTGTCAGCCCTCCTTGCTGTTTTCTGCTCTACATGACTGTCCTTTGTTGCTTCTCAATATATTTGGAAAAAATCAATCACAACATGTTGCAAAAAGCAACCTGATTATAACCTCCCAGCATCGGTCTGTGCGGACTGTACCTGACTCTCCCCTTGCTAAAAACTAAAGCACATTCTTCACCTGGCTTTGACGCACGAGGCTGCGGAAGATCGATAAACACTGGGTTTAACAATTGATTAAGTCTTCATAGAAGTTCTCTGATGGAGGTCTCCACGCAGAAACATGATTATAGCTTTACTTGTCAGGGTCAGACACTAAACCCCCCTTGTCTGATGGAATATTGGGATCACGGCTCTGCTCAACTTAGCTTCAGCTGGATTTCATGAAGAACTCATTTGGATGTGAGTGAGACAGTCCAAGGCATGGCTACTTTGAGTCTCAAGATTTAAGAAACACTGACAAAAAAAAGCTTCTTTCTTATGAACTGTACAACATCTACAGTGTGGGTTTTTATGCTTTTTTTTTTTTTGTTATGGGGAAGTTATTTTTAGAATGGACCATATGGGTCGTTAAATTACTTTAAGAAACACGTCAGACATCTTGTTCCCATGTAGGAATGATTCGCCTGTGTGTACACATGCCCACAAACGCCCATGAGGCGTTCGTGTCCTCACAGGACATGTAATACTGCAGGGCTGCTTGGTGCTGCATCTGTGTGGGTTTTGTTGTTGAATCTGTCTCTTTGCATTTGCACTGTGGACTGCATGTACCCAACCTCTTTTCCAGTGTCAACTGAAATAGGCTCTACTCCCTCAGCATCCTATACAGGGTGAAGCTAATGGGTGCTTCAACAGCAAAAAGTTCAGAATCAATTTATTATATTACACTTTTTACACCAAGTTCTTTCTCAAATGTGAGGATCTGCTTTTTCTTTGTGTCGTATCTGAACAATTCTGGATATTTATCTCATTGATGGGGTCAATTCGGTCTGTTGGTCTGCCATTTTTACCCAGAAAAAAGGATCTCACTGCCATACAATAACTGCCATACTACTGCCATATTACTTCCAACACCCTTTTATTGGTGTTAATATTACCCAGAATGAAAATCTTATAGTTTCTCCAAATGTTCTTCTCATGAAGAGATCAAAGTGAAATATGTTGTGGGTCGTGTAGCTGTTCTTAATTGGGTGCATTAAGTTATTTTTTGCAGTTGGTTGGTCTTTCTCTCTGCTTTCCTCACACTTGATTTCAAGAAATGTTTCTTAGTTTTATACAGCACAGAAATAAAACCAAATAGCACATCACATGCTTGGCCTCTTAACACGGTGCCCGACTGATCCACAACACACCACAGCCAAGATTTCATAGCAAATGTCTGGTTAGAGAAGCCATTTTAAAAGGCACAGCTCATATTGTAAAGAGCTTTGAGCTCATGTTTCAAAGTGTGCTGGCAGCGTAGATGGCAGGCTGCATCAGCCATGCTGGGCAGCTTTCTTTTCTTCTGCCGCGCCATAAGAGCAGATTGATCTGTGGCAGGGTTTCAAACTAACAAGCCAGTTGCCATTTAAAAAAGTTCTAAAGGGGCAAAGTTGCTTGCAAGTTTTTTTTTTTCGGAAAGCTATAGTGCTACATCTGTGACACGTAAATGCAAAACTCAAAACAGTTATCACTTACTTCTTTAGTTTTATCCATTGCCCTCAAGATGGCCACATTCAGCTTTTCCAGGGCAGACAGAACACTGACATATTCTCCCAGATGCGGGGTGAAGTACGCTAGAGAGAAATACATGTATTACTCTATCTAAAATTGCTAAGAAATCAGAACAGAAACACATGAGGATTTGGATAATTCCTTAATTTAGTTTAAAGCACCGCACAGCTAGAACCTAATCGTTTTAGCTTTAGGAGACGTCTGAGACATTTGTTGCATATGTATACACATTTTGAGGATTTGTACTGGTAAAGTTGGTGAGATAAAGTGGGACACATCATTACCTGAGAGCTTGTCTATGTCCAGGTTGCTGTGAGGTGACCAGACAAAGACAAAATGTGGGATATTAATCAAACAGATCCAACTAAGAAGACTGAAATGCGTCTGACAAGCAACAAAAATATGATAAACCCCTGCAAGCCCTTTTTCTGCAGAAGTTCTCAAACGAGGACTTTGGATAAAGCACCATACGACTCACAAAGTATATCTAAATAATTTGTTTTTGATAGTTCCTATCAATAAATACTGCATGAAAAGAGACTAAAATGAAAGGCAATCTAATAACTTGGAATTTCACATACAATTCAATTGTGTTGTGTGCCATTAATCACTTTAATAGATAACTAGACTCCTTTATAGTTAATTTTATGAAAAAATTACTCTATTTGACTTTATTTGGCTGTCCATAATACCCTCTTGGGTATTTTAAAACTTTTCAAATTCACTATTCAAGCAAATATTTCCATAGTTTACATTGTTTTGTGTGCTCATCTGTTTCTCCGCAGACTGCTGCAAGCACCCTGGCTTTCACACAAGAATTAACGCTCTCTGTGGATAAAGGGCTACAGATGGCAGCAGATTTGGAGGAGCTTCACAAACATCAGTGAACTTACTCTGTCTTCTGCTTGTCGATGGAGTGATACAGCTCTTGCATCTGCTCCTCAGTGAGGATACCATCAGTGAAGTATGACTGGAACTCCTCCAAGGACAGCTTCCCATCATCTGAAAGGAGACGTGAACCTGTGAAGGTTACTTGTCGCCGGACCCTGAAACGTTTCCTCACATTCAAGAAATAAAACTGTCCATCGTTTCAAAAAGTGGGACAAGGCCACAGTGGCCTTACAAAAGCAAAGTAATCCCACTGATTTGTGGCTAGAAAGTAAGATATTTCTTTGTCCTGCAAGCACCAACAATTCCCTTTTAAAAGCCCTGTGTGCTATTAATCTATCATCCTAAAAGACAACTTTTGCATAATTATCAGCTCACAATTCAGAAAGGACTCATTTGAGGATTAAAATTCATCTTCCCGTAATATGTGTGTATATGTGGCTAGTTTATAGATGAGGGAGAAGCAACGGGGGAAGATATCATGATGATTTCTTTCCCAAGTGTCCATAAAATCTTCTTCCTCGTATGTAGGAGTAAACACAATCTGTCGTATTTCTGACTCATCTTCCAGCCTTCTCCGGCGAAGCTGCTTCACTTTGGATTCGCACATAATTTGACACCCGAATGTAGTGCGGTTAAGATGGCACATTGCACAAGTGTTCACTGTTTCTCAGCTCAACGGAACAGAAACAGAAGAGCTCCTGGCTACAGACAGGCCATATTTTCCTCATTAAAGGATTTGTTTTTTGTTATTACTGAAATGCAGGACAGGCTTTGAAGGCTAGACTTGATCATAAGCAGTTGATATGATCATAAGTAGCTCTGACCCAGCCTTTTGTTAGAATTGGCAATTTGGCAATAATTACTCATTTTAGCATTGCATGCTATAACATAACCCATGTAAATGACTGATTGTCTTATTCCTTTTAGAACTATACTTTTGTGTTAACTCTCTGGCTGTGCCCACATATTCTCTTTTTCTCTCTGTTGCAGCAGACACCACACTCCAATGTCATCTGCATGAATTAGGACCTTGCCTGTTTATGTCTTTGTCTGTGAGAGCCCAGCGCTGACATACATTACCTGTGACCCATTAAATGTCATTTTTGAATTCTTGATCTACTTTGGTTTATTCTCAGGTTTCCAACTAAAGAATCGGGCTAACACTTTAAAGAGCAAAGACTAGAAAATGTCCTATATTAGCTGATCAGAAATAATTCTAGTAATGGTGTCAGTTTTTACTTGTGCAAAAAAACAACAAAACAGCCCTGTTTTGATGAATAAATGAATTCCTTTTAGGTTTTACAACACAAAAACCGTGACATTTGGAGATTTTACACATATGTCATCCCTTTTGTTGAGAGACTGCTGCTGCACAACATTTCTCACATTAACAAAGCATCTATTTATCCTAGCTATTCATTTCACTCACTAATTGTACATGGAGTGCACTAACACTGAAGCTGTGAATCTCAGCATAGGGCTGAGAGTGAATTCTCATCCAGAGGCGGTTTATCATATAAGCCTATGCAGGCTGTTTCGAAGCTGAACTTGGTTCCACTTATGTCGAAGATAAATAAGACTTGAATGTTTCAGTATGAGTAAAAAATACTTGGGCAGAGCAGAGTCATAAATATTAATCCATCAGACTGAGGGGTTTAATAAGAAAAACACTTTATTCATGCAGTTAATCCAAAGACTTTGTAACGACCAAATTACGCCTACGAAAGCTTAAGTGCTGTTCACAACAGCGAAAAGGCAGCTTCATCAAATGAAATAAAACTCTCACCTCACTTAAGCTTACATCTATGCAGAAATGCGTTTACTTTGGGGAATCTCAAAGCAGAAACCAGAGCAGCAGTAAAAATCCATAAACCCCCTCCCCCCAGTGCAATTAAGGAGAATATTGGAGCTAACAATAGTCCATAACTTAGTCTCACTGGAAATATGGTGATCAAAGTTTTGCCAATTCTCAACTTTAGTTCAGAAGCCCTCTCAAAGACACCCACTGACCGAGATGAAGGCGGAGTGTACCAACTGTTTGTGAGGGCGGCAGTTGTGTGCAAGTCCAGCATTGCAGGAAAGAAAAGTTTATCTACTTTATAAATATTAGAATCATCCAGTCATACCTAAAAGAATTTGAAAAATGAACTTGTTAGTTTAAATGACTGTGTAAATGAATGGTGATTTAATAGCGTATGCCATAAAGGAGCATTACATTCATACTGTGATCATACGTACTGTGATCCAATATGTGAACTTACATTTAATATGCATATCAGAAGATGTTCTGTGTAACAAGTAGCACACCTGAGGGCAGCACAGTTTTTCACAACCAAAATGTCATATCCAGACATTTTGAATAGTAAAACAAAGTATTGATTTGCAGAGAAAGCATTCTGCATATCAATGCCAGATAGAGGAAGTAGAGAAAGTCCCACTTGAGCTAATTAAGATCAGCAGTCTTTGTTGCTTTATACGGTTGAGATATATATGAAATACCAACACTTGGACTCATTAGGTGCTCTTAACAACGTCAACATTATTCTATCCTGCGAGAGTCCAGTAACACAAAACCTGAATCTTGATCAAAGCAGCAACAGAGTGTGACTGAGGATCCGATCTCTATTCCTGCTTCACTGTGATCAGGGACATGAGCTGGAGCCTATCCCAACCGTCAGAAACTGACAGGCAGGGAATGACGGATCGCCAGTTTGTCACATAAAGACAAGCGTGCGCACACCTTCTGTACTCTACCTGCAGCCCCCACCATTTTCATTTTTGTAAAAATAACCAAAGACATCAGTGTTATAATACAGTTATCGACTTGCCTTTTCTATAAAAAAAAAAAAGTATTATAGAGTGCAATGGTTTCATAGCATGTCCTTATTACGATTTAAATGCATATTTCTACAGGCGTATCATGGCAGCCCACGCAGTGCTGATTGGATGCAGCTTTGGAGCTGCTTTGGAGCCCTGGTGCTTCTAAGGATGCACGACTCAGTGGGTTTCAGAAGACAAGAAACAAGCTGAGCCCGACTGCAGACCGAAGATAACAAACAAGCTGTACAGTTGCCATGTTTTCCCTCATTTCACTGAGCGCGAAAAACAATAGCTTGGAATTAATAATGCAGAAAGGCCAGATGAAAGAAATGAGCAAACATGGTCATAAGTGTGTATGAATACTCCAGTAATTGAAATGGAGAATGTGTTTTTCTTTATGTTGCATTACGGCTCTAGCATAAGTCCAGCTCTGCTTTTCTCAACTACTTCATGCAGTAATGATCTGAAACTAGACTTTAACCTTTTCTTGTAAGAAAAACCCCAGTAAAAAAAAAAAAAAAGTTTATTTGGGGGTCCTATTCATAATTCACAAAGTGAAAAATGTTCTGCATTTCAGTATCTCCAAAGTAGAGGCCTCAGGCAGCCATACTCTCATGGCAGGGCTTGCTGTATCATTAATTGTGCTCTTATGCAACACATTCACCGTCCTCCTGAGGAAAACCTGCTCAGAGCACCCACAAGCATTCCTCACCCGCCCGTTTTGCAGCTTACAATCCATTAGATGTTATGCAGTGCTTGAATAAGAAATTAGGAATGAGAACATTCTCCTGTTTGTCGGCATTGTTCATCATGCACAACTGAACGCTGCGTTTTCCCGGGAGACATTTAGTGAAAGAGTTCCCTTGAAGAAAAGAGGTAGCGCTGTAATACATAAATCAAGTGAAAGAATGACTCACTTTCAGGGGAAAACATTCTAATCAAATTCCAAGTCTCAGGTGTTTTTTTTTTCCATTTAGAGTTAAAGATGCAGCTGAGACTGCTTATTGCGTAAGAAAATTCAAGACCATTTTTGGTGAGGTAAATTTGCTCTCCGTGCTGAATGCGACTGCCTATTACTGAGAGAGCTTTGCTTTGCTCCTGGCAGGGCACCAGAATGAGCAATGTCTGCAGGGTTAACTGTGGGGGTTCATCCTGTCAAATCAAATCGCATTAAAAAGCAGCTAAAAGATGCAGCTGCAGCTAACCTTGGTCATATTCCCTCTCTCGCTCTCAGATAGAGAAAAGAGTTCCACCAAGGGCACACAGATCCCATCTGAACCAAAACATGCTCATCTGACCACAGACGTTTCACACGTTTTTGTCAAGAGACTTAAAATGACTTTAAATTGACTATTTAACACAAATAGAAGTGTATTGTGTATACTCACCGTTTTTATCTGCCCGGCGGAAAATCTGCAATAAAAACAAAACACATTTATCTATTCAGGCCTGGAGAAGTCACACAAATGACAAAAAAAAAAACATGTCGAGGTTTGAGAAATGGCAAAGTCGAACAAATGCTCAGCAGAGTAACTCAAGGCAAAAACATAAATACGGATTCTGTTTAGCTAACAGACATCTCTGCATTCCCACACCAACGTGAAACACCCCTGAGGCAGTCCACCAACATCTGATATTATGGCATATTTCTTTGTCGTTATGATGGAAAAGGTATTTAAGAGCGGCTGTAATTTCCTCATCTCAATAATAAAAGTGACAAAAGGCATTTTGGGAAATGAGAGGATGACATTTGAGTGCACCTTGCAGGTGCTTCAAACTGATAGCTTTCATATATTTTGTCTCCACAGGAACTAAGGACAATTATGTTACTTTCAAATATTCCCCAAGAATAAACTGCACGACATAAAGCCACCCTTGTGTGTGTCTATTCATTAATGGAGTGTAGATGGTAATAAAATTCCGTCGTCATATCTCTGGGCAACAAATCAGTGTGAAGATACGTCAGCTTGTGGTATAGGAGGTGGGAGGGAGAGGGGCCTCTTTATTTCCAGTCACTGCTCAGTCACTCCATGAACCGGTAGAGAGACCAGTGGACGGTTGATGAATGATGTTGTCAGCCTGCTGCAGAGAAGTCTGCAAGCTGCCACATTTCAAACACACTGGTGTGTGAAGGTCTCGATATGCTCTGCTGTCTCCAGCTTTTAAACAGCATCTCTCCTCTAAACCTCAAACGCACAGGAAAAAAAAAACAGAACAGACATAATGCACAGAAGACAAAGACTGTGCTGAATTTCATGGCCCAATCCATACTAAGACATCACCTTCAAATGTTCTACCTATCACGGACACAATCAAGTTTTTATGTCCTTTAAAATATTACCTGCAAATGTCATAATCAATGCACAGATTCATTTTGTCCTTCATTAATGTTAAACTTAATCTGTGTGTGGTATTTTAGCAACGATAGAAATGTTATCTCATCAATAACAATAATAATCCAAAGGCCTTGCAAAGTTAACAACATTTGGGTGAGAACACAAATCTCAGTTTCACCAGAAAATGTGTGAGTGTTACATTTGTCCACATCATCATGAACAGTGTCAAGATCCATGGTTGGAAATTATAAGATGGCAGGTTTCCCCCTAGCTTGTTGGTTTGTGCAGGACGATGCTGTCCTGACATCAGAGGAACCTCGACCAGTGGATAGTAAAATGCGTAAGCCCTTACTTGGATGATTTTTCTAACCCTTTTTAATTCCTATACCTAATTGGAGCGTTGTGTTAAAGAAACAAATAACAATTGAGATGACTGTAAAGCATTGTGTGGAGTCGTGTCGGACTTGGCGCTTTAGCATGAATTTAGCTTGAAATGGCAGATATATCTGGAAAAAGCTTAATTATGGGTTAGATCTTTTGATCTTTTCTTTTGCATTTTAATTGGTTGTCATGTATCTGTCTAATTGCACTTGATCTGTAATGCGAAGTGCAATTTTTTTGGTATCATTTTTAATTTCATTTGAACATTTAACTGTGACATAAAATTTTGATTTTTCTAATTATTGTTTTCGGCAAAACAATCATGTGATGAAAATCTGTTGTTGACAAAGATTTGGACTAAACCTTGCAGAGGAGCTGCTGCCGCCCTTAGCTATCTGTGGACTGACAAGCTGGCATAATGACGTTTGGTGGCTGCTTGGCAGAACTATCTCCGTGAACAGCAGAGGCTCTGGATAAGTATCCTGTCTTAGACAGCTTGCAGGGGACCAGCAGGGAGCTTGAGAGCAATGAACACAAGCTGTAGTGAAACCTGAGGAGACTCTCCCTCTGTGATGTGGGTGGGAGGCTGCGGAGTTTATGCAGAACTTCTTAAAGACAGGGCTGATGAAAAATCTGCATCAGCCGTATAGCTGATGCAATTTATTAAAATCTATCCCGGTCCCCGTTACCTGTGACTGAATGCTGACACAGGACAAGATTTAACAACATTTCAGGTGTGTTGTCTGAGTACGAATGCACAATGCTCAGGCAAAATCTAATTATCTATAATAAAAAAAGCAGGGAAAGGTTTGCAGAGTAGTGAGTTGGATAAACAAAGAAAACACAAAAAAGATTCTGAAAGGCTTTATGAAAATGGAAAAGCACATACCAATCTCAGCTATCTGAGAGGTACTTCAAAAAAAGATTCTGAAAGGATTTAAGAAAATGGAAAAGCGCATACCAAACTCAGCTATCTGAGAGGTACTCGAAAAGCCAATGACAGCATGATCAAGTGTTAGGAGCCTTTTCAGTGCAGATCAATGACAACATCAATAACAGACTGAAATTGTGAAGAGATCACGATAGTTAACTCTGGTAAGCTTCCCTCTAATGGCATCACATGTAATTTATGCCTCTGTTAAACACTAAATATCTACCCATTGACCATTGTAAGGTTTTGCATTGCTGGACCGGAGGAAGTAATAATGCATTTAAACTGAAACCCCACTCGCTGCAGTCAGATTTCCCATTTGTTGGCCAATCATCTGTAGTGGGGAAGCTAAATTAACTTTACTGTCAGGATGGGTAGAATTAAAATATAATAATTTCTTCTTCTTTATTTTGCATACCAAGAAAAAAAACAATGGCTCCAAACACTGACATAAAATACCACGCGTTTGCATTTGCATTGCTTGCTTTTCAAATGGGTTATAATCTTCGTTCTGTGGGGGGGGGGGAAGAAGACCAGGCAGCTGTGCTGGAGAAAATTTCTGTTGTAGTCAAACTGAATAATTCAAAATGATCTGTTGGAGCTGTATGAGAGTCAGGTTGCTTATTTAGAAGAAAGAAAATAGCTGTACCATGCATATTTCTTTGTGTACAGCCAATAGTATGTCCTGTATGGGAATATGTAATACTGGAAAATAACGGCACCCAAAATAACCCTGTTGTCATCCTTTATAGGTCCATTCATGTGCACGACAGATGACTGTACTGGACAATCTCTTTTGTTGTTTGCGCATTAATGGCCACCCATTAACCTCTCTTACATAATAGCGCTGTTTTTAACATCAAGCACCTGAATGGGCCGTGTTCCAACTCAATACGAACCATTCACAAAGAATGAAGGACAGTGTGTCACTCGTACTGTGTGGTTGTAAGACGACACCCCAGAGGACGGTCACGAAAAAAAAAAAGAACGATTAAAAAACAATTAAAAATGAACACAAATATTTATGAATACTGACTTTAAATGTATATATTTATACATATATAGAGTGCTTGTATTGTGAGGCTGTGACAGCCCAGGGTGTACTTACATCCTGGATCAGAGCGATGCCTTGGTTCTGATTGTGGTCAAGCTCCTTCTGCTTTCTCAAGTGCTCCTGCTTGGCAGACTGGAGACACATGGTGATCAGCTCCGTGCAGGCCAGCATCTTCCCCTCTGTGTCGATAAGACTCGAATGTCTTCTATTTCCTCTTTGTGTGTCTTGAGAAGAGCGTCCCGTTCGCTGCGCGCGGCTGGAGAGGATGTCCTTGTGAGGGAGGGTGGTGGATGAGGGTGATGATGGTGATGATGATGATGCTGTGCTTCAGTCAGGATGAGCTGGACCCTGCCTGCTGCCCTCTGTCTGCTGCCAGAAGCCGGTACGTCCACGGTGGCTCCGCCCTCCGCACGACGATACAGAGGAGCCCCGGAGAACGCACCATCTACCGGACACAATCCACCCCACCTGTCCGATGAGCTGGTCAGTACGGGGGCCGATGGCGATGGGGACTGAGCCCAGAGAAATGTCTTAATCTGATCTAAAGAAAGTGAGGCTGCTGATGTCAAATTCTGATGCTGCTCTGTGAATTTATCTCCACAGTTGGTTGTATCTTGAATCCATGGGTTAACCAGATCGAAGGAATTCAAGCAGAATTCAGAGGCTGTTCAGCTTCATTTGTCCAGTTGTTTGCCTTGTGTTCAGGTATCAGGAAAAACAACCAACAAAATATGAAATATATACATACTTAAGGGATGAGTAAAAGAGGAAGAGCATTGGCTGCTGGTGATGATAACAATCAAGGACAACAATGAACCAGTAACCAGCACCAAAAAAGAAAAGAACAAAAAGAAAAGAAAAGACAAGACAAAGAACTTTGAATACAAAGAATAACGACAGTGGAAGGCAGTCATTGAAAGGTAAACCGGTGTAAACTAACAAAAGCACTGATGGATTTTTTGTCCCACTTTCGAATCTTAGTATGTATGTGAACTTCAGTGTGTGTTTAAATTCTATTAGCGTTTACTGGCTGCACTGTGTTCAAGTGTATGTCCCTAATTTGGCATTTATGCTTGTTACATGAAGTCAGCAGAGGATATGAGTTCATGTGAAAATGCCTGGCAGAAGTGGGGCATAGGTCTGGTTACAGAAGATCTAAATCTTTAAACAAATAAAAAAGATGACATAGAGAACTAAAACATTAACAAAACTCACGTCATGATCATGTCTTTTCTTATTTTTATGATGAGTGTCACTTAAACCAGTTACAATGCTAAAAAGGTTTTGATCAGTTCAACACATTTTTTTTAAGTTGGTATAAGAAAATAAATATATTTTGAATGCTCCAAAAAATTATGTTAAATTTTGACAATTAAAAAATGGATATTTCAAAAGTCCTTAATCTTTGAAAAGGGAAGAAAGCAGTTAAGAAGTTAATGGCTGAAACAACCTGTCTCGTTCACATGAAAACATAACATTTCCTTAAAATCTCTTCGATATATATTAAAACCTTGTGTTTATTTTATAATTTTATCAATACGCAAATGAGTAATGATCATACAATAAAAACATCATTATCCCATTAACATTGTGGATTTTTAGAACGAACAAGATAGACATGACAAATGGTGGGAAAATACATCCAGATATGTGTGTTGGTTGTTACTTATTTTAAATGTGCCATTACTTCAGTGCCATTTTAGTACCGACTGAAACGAGGCTGGGCCAAGTCTCTCAGTTTTAATGGAACTCTATCAGCATCTTTGCACCTCCCACTCATACGCAAGCGGCTCCCTTCTTGGCCTCCAAGTTTAGATCGTCACGTCACTGGGTGGAAACGAATGATGGAGATGATATAAAGGCTCCTCAACATCTGACCAATAACTTTCGACACCAACTTATTTGCTTATTTGCTGTTCTGAAGTTCGTCCTCAGTGCAGGTCAACGGGTGAGCCTCGCTTTTGATCACAAGTATAGTATATACTGTTATTATTTTTGATAAATGCCACCTGAATTTTAAATATTAAACTATTCTAGTTTCAATTATTTGTGTATACAATGTTTTATTTACCTCTGCATGTTTTTTTTCTTTTCTGACCTTCAGTCAGAGGAAACATAAGGTTATTCGGGTAAATTAGTTAATTTGATCAAGTTGCCTTTTGTTAACATTACCTTTCACAGCCTGAGAGTGTTTGTCTTATTGTTTTTGTTCTGCCGGCTAGCATCATTAGTTACTTAATAAGCCAAGGAAAATGCTTTTTAAAGAAGCATTTCACCTACTTGTGGGGTTTGAAATGTTTTTTTTAAAGGCCCAAGTGAAGATATCATCTAACCACAAGAAAAAGCCGCAGATCCTAAGAATTGCTTTATCTTCTCACCACGGCAGATAGCGACACTCGGCCCATTTGTAAACTAAATCCCACACTGTAAACTTAAACCCGATCAGTGGCTGTTTTGTCACAGGTCAATCACGAATTTCCAGGTTTGTCATTTAGAGTTTGTAATTCGAAAACTTTTTTACTCCGAAATTTGCAGTAGAGAAATTGAAGGCCTGGAGTTTATGCCTCCCTGCCGTGTGTCATCAGAGGTTATATGGCTTCGGCAGTAATCTGCTGGCGATGCCTGTCAGGACTGTTCTTGAGTGCCTGCAGAAGGCAGATAAGCAGCAGCTGCGTGTCACGCCCTCGAGGAGGCAGCTTTTACTCTCTGTATCTAAACTGAGCCATTACATTTGCACTTAGGAAATTTCCCTGTTATCTTGATTTGGGATGATATCATGGTTTCTCTGCACTGTTATTGAGGAAGTTTTTCTCAAAGAAGTTTTAAAAAAAGTGACATATTAGTATAAAGTTAGCTTGACAAAAAATTTATTTCAAAATGCAGACTAAATTGCAAATTCAAATTCAGTCTTTCTCCGTTTCTTGTCCTCCCTGTAGGTAAAGAACAGGCAAAGCACGATGGCGGCCTTCCTTCATCGCTGTCCTTTCCTGAAGTCAGCTCCCAAGCCAGCTTTAAGGAGAACAGGAGTGGCTCTGCTGTCTCTGGCAGACCGGTGCCCCATCATTGCTCGGCAAATCACTGTGATCGGCCCGAGCTCGCTGGAGGCCAATCAGAGCGCCTCTCTCCTCAGACCCAAGAGTGGCCGACATCCCTGGGTGGACCAAACGAAGCTCTTTGCTCAGACCGCCACTAACGTGGCTGTGTCTGTGTCCAAGAAGTGCCCTTTTGTCACCTCTCAGATCGGCGTGGTCCAAGCCAGCCCTGATGTCCAGGAGGATGTCCGAGATGGTAGGAGAAAGAAGCTGTGCAACTCGTGCTTTGACTGGGGCAAAATGCCATGAACAGAGATGGGGACAAAACAGCAGTGATTCACACAGAGCTACTTTTGTCTTTTCAAGGGTTGATGACATCTTTGTGGAAAGGTTTAAAAGATTCTGTGTGTCCACCAGCGCCTGAAAACACCCCTGTGACCCACCTCCTGAACGACAACATTGGTAAGCTTTTCAGTCTGTGACTGACCACGGATAAAAACCTCTGCTGGTCCTTTAGTGCCATTTGATCGCTCTTTCAGTTGGCCCAGCCTACGACTACGATCGCTTCTTCACGGAGAAGTTAGCTGAAAAAAAGAAGGACCACACATACAGGGTCTTCAAGACGGTGAACAGGAGTGCCACGAACTTCCCTTTCGCGGAGGATTACTCGTTCGCCGGGCGGGAGGGCTCTCAGGTGTCTGTCTGGTGCAGCAATGACTATCTGGGAATGAGTCGCCATCCGAGGGTCCTCGGGGCTATAAGGTGAGACAGTAGGATGCTCATGGTCAAAACCTTTTTCCATAAAAAAGACAGAGTTTCTTTGATAGAAGCAGCCCGTTCATTTTGCATTGTCTTTTATCAGTCATTAGACTGTGTCATTGCAAAAGTAAGGTCAAAAAAGAAAAGGAAGAAATGTCCAACCATGTTGCGGTTGTCTTCAGAGATACTTTGGAGATGCACGGTGCGGGAGCAGGCGGGACCAGGAACATCTCTGGCACCAGCAACTTCCACGTGTCTCTGGAGAAGGAACTCGCCCAGCTCCACCAGAAAGACGCCTCGTTGGTGTTCTCCTCCTGCTTCGTGGCAAACGATTCAACGCTCTTCACTCTGGCCAAGATGCTTCCAGGTGCACACCGGAGCCTCAGTCAGGAGTCGGGGGGGGGGAAATGGTCTTTGAGATGTAGCATTCAGTGGTTACTTCTCAAGATGTCTCATTAATATGCCTGAGTGCCTATCACTCAGAATCATTTGTTATTTAGACATCTCTGGAGTGTCTGGTGGTAAAGGCTGATGGATGGAAGCCGTCTCCACTCCTCTCACGGAGCGTTAACTGTGTCGTGCAGGCTGCGAGATCTACTCTGATGCTGGGAACCACGCGTCGATGATTCAGGGCATCAGGAACAGCGGAGCCAAGCGCTTCATCTTCCGCCATAATGACAGCCGACACCTGGAGGAGCTGCTCAAGCGCTCTGACCCCAAGACGCCGAAAATAGTGGCGTTTGAGACAGTGCACTCGATGGATGGTGAGCCCTTCAAGAAAAGGAAAAAAGAGACCATGGGTCCTTTTTGTCTTGAATGTTTGAATGTGATATGTTTGAATAAGCATAAACGCCTGATGGCACAAATGTAAAATAGACATTCTATGTTTTAGAAGGTAAAGTCGCCGATGGTCCAATCAGTTGTGACCTAATTTCAACTATACGGCTGAATTTTTATTCACAAAGTCTCAATCCAATATTTTATTTGAGGCTTCAAAGAATAATGAAATAATTAATGTATTCTTTGAAGCAAAGGGAAGCATTCTTTATTCATTTCTTTCCCAAGGCACTTTCCCTGTTCCTCACAGAGTGTACCTCTGCCTGTGAGCTTGTTTGAGACTTAAAGACCCAAAGTTTTCTAACTTGTTCTTCAAGTCAAGTTCATTAGAATTTCTTTTTACTTTGCTGAAAAGAATTAGAAGTGTAAAACGTACAAACAGCTAAATATCACTGTGAAGAGCAGTGTATGGAAGTTGCTGCTGGGAATATTTCTTGGTATTTTTTCTTTAAAGCAGAAGATGTTTGAAAGTGATTCTGTGAGTTTGGATGCATTTCATTTTCCAAGACTAAATTATGTTTAATGCAGCATTAGGCTTTTCAGTGGAAGAATCACATCATTTCCAACTTCTGAGGGACCTTATGACTTCAGTGTTTAATCGTTGCAGTTCACAGAACTGCTCAATTTAAATCCAGATTTGATCTGTAGATTTGTTTTATCTATAGTTATTCTGTCATTTGTTTTGTCATCAAATGGGAGGGAATATTCTGCATTCCTCCACTCCATTTATCTTGATCATATTACGCCATTGACAGCTTTATGAGGTGCACGCTGAACAGATGACTGTGACCATATCTTCTGACAACACAATGACAAAGAGTACCTCAGAAAAAAAATTATGCATGCTTTTTGGATTTGGAATGATTGTTTTAATTCTTTTTAAGCATAAGGAGAACAATCCTACTCAGCAATGACATTTTCAGCCTTGTTCATTTACTTTTCATCTATACACAGTTCTAATGATATCCTCTTCTTCTCTGGCGGTGTCAGGAGCCATATGTCCTCTGGAAGAGCTGTGTGATGTAGCCCATCGTTATGGAGCTCTGACGTTTGTGGATGAAGTTCACGCCGTGGGTCTGTACGGAGCCCATGGAGCCGGAGTGGGCGAGAGGGACAACGTCATGCACAAGATTGACATAGTTTCCGGGACCTTAGGTGAGTTTTTTTTCTTTGGAAAGTCCTCTCTGTGTGTCGGACATGTAGTTCCACACTTCTTCCTTTTTCCTTTTATCTTGTGTGTCTGTTAAAGATGCAATACCTTATCAAATTTCAAAAGCTGATTCAGCCCTCTCTAATAAAAACGACGCCCACGAGTCATCCATCATCGTATCGGTTTATTATGGGCAAGGCAAACAGCTTCTAACTGTCGTAGATCGGTTTGTTTTCTTGTTGGCTCATCTCCATCTCAGGCCTCTCCCGCAGAAACTGACACTGTCACAAGGCCAGCCCAGAAAGAGATGCTCCGCTGCCTCTTAAACCAGGGCAGGAGAGGAGTGAGCTCTCAGTACAGGAGCAGAGCTTTTATCAGCAGGCTGCCAGTGCTACTCCCTCTCTGGCCCCGCTGATAAAACTCTGTGTTGTCCGTCCTGTGCGTAATTTCACAACAACTGCTCGGTTTATTCCTGGATTACAACATATGGTTTCTTTAAGGCCTTACGCTTAATGTTCCATTAAAATGAACAAATAAGAAATTAAGGAAGATTCACTGTGATGAAAGTAATGTAAATGATTACCTCAGCTGCACACAAGACACTGAAAATGTAGAGGCCATTGTGTTGGATTTCAAAGGTATTAAAAGAAATAACTGTTGTTATCGTAAATATTACAAATGGAAAACCTTGGAATCAATGGTTATTTTTCACTTTGTACAATTTTGCTAATGGTGGAGTTATATAACATATTTTTTTGCCAAAAAAGTTGTTTCCAGCCAAATTAAAACAGAAATTGCCAACAAGAATTTTCAGAAAAAATTGACTATATGAATTCTGAGGGTTGAGGGAGTCAGCATTGGATTATCCAGCAATTCACACAAAATCCAGCTTCATTCGATATCTTACGGCTGTGTTAAAATATGCAAGAAACTCATCTTATACCAGTTTATTACATAATCTTACTGGAAAGTTAAATATATATGTTTAAAATATTACAAATAGAGATTTCCTTAAAGCTTTAATATCAACATAACTACACGGAGACTAAATTAGGTCTAAACTAAAGAAGATAATTACAGCATAAAATAAATAATTAGATATTTAAATCATATTCAAATGCCAATTTAGCTTTTTTTTAAAAAGGTAATTAGATGTAAAACCATTAAAAACTGGTTTGTATGTTACCAACTGGGCAAACGCCCGTTCATCTGCTCCAGGCAAAGCTTTTGGTTGTGTGGGAGGATACATTGCCAGCAGCGCCGCCCTGGTGGACACCGTGCGCTCCTACGCAGCTGGCTTCATCTTCACAACAGCCCTGCCCCCATTTGTCCTTGCTGGAGCTCTGGAGTCTGTGCGAGTCCTGAAGAGTCCTGAGGGGCAGGGACTCCGCAGAGCCCACCAGAGAAATGTGAAACTCATGAGGCAGCTGCTCATGGACAAAGGCCTACCTGTGGTCAACTGCCCCAGCCACATCATCCCCATATGGGTAGGGTTTGTTGCAAAATGACATCTGCTTACCACCCACTAAAAACATCCCAACACAAATGGGAGACTCTGACTAATTTTATTGAGCTATAATAACGCACATTTGTTCCACAAGTCAAAACATTTGCAATGATGAACCAGCTGTTCACATTTAGATTTCTTGGACTTTTATTATGACAGAAGGTACAAAAAAATTAGCTAATTACAGTTAATACATGCATAGCTTATGCATACAAATTTTAATATTTTTAAGATATACCTCACTTTGTAATTCAAATAAAAAATTAACACTCAAAGTCCTAATATATGACATTTTACACATGACCGTGGACATATAAAATACTGCATATTCTGACTAATGTTGTAATTCATTCATTCAGTTCAAAGGCCCACCATTGCAAGAATCTCCCGATGAGGAATTAACATATTGGGCGAAACTCATCTTTCACCCTCTATGGCCCATATCTAGGTTGGCAAAGCAGAGCTGAACACCAAAGTGTGCGATTCTTTGCTGGAGAGACACAACATCTATGTCCAGGCCATCAACTACCCCACAGTGCCTCGTGGTGAGGAGCTGCTGCGCCTGGCTCCGTCTCCTCATCACCACCCTGACATGATGGAGTACTTTGTTGGTGAGTGAGAGGATCTTTACGGTGATAAGGACGGAGATTTGATAGGAAACGTTCAATAAAGTTAAGTGAGGACAACTGCGAGAGCTGGTCACCCATGTATGTGATGCATCAGTATTTTGGTGTTTATCTTGAATAGTCTCTCACTATACCAGTGTGATGGAAGGGAAAGTAAATCAAAGCATTTAACTTTATATTCGGATGTGTGTTTCGTTTCCAGAGAAACTGGTGGAGGTGTGGCAGGAGGCAGGTCTGCCAATCAACAGTCCAGCCACGGCCTCCTGCACCTTCTGTGACCGCCCACTGCACTTTGACCTCATGAGTGAGTGGGAGAAATCCTACTTTGGCAACATGGAACCGCATTATATTACTGTGTCTGCTTAAGGGCAAGGTTCATGTCCCGTGGGAGCACAACCAGCTAACTGGTTGTCTTTTGTTGCTAAATGATAAGAGTCCTATATCAGAGAGTCAGACTTGAAGAGAAGCTCACGGGCATTGTGTTTAATCATTTAATGGCTTTGATTTGACCAAAATAAACAATTGATTCATGTTATCCTGTATTTCTGCATTCTAAGTTGTGTTTGCTGCAATGAATATGATTAAACATTTGAAAAATATTTTCAAAAGCAAGAGGCCTGCACATTTGACACTTTTTAATCCTTTTATGGAGAAATGGTAGTTTGACTTACAGCATTTAGTGTTGCAAGATGTAGCTCATAGAGTATAAAAACATATTTATTATTTGTTTGTTTTTTCATTTCCATATTAATTGATTAAATAATCAATTAGTTTAATTATTTATTTATTTATTTATTTATTTATTTATTTATTTATTTATGTTATCGTAGTGAATGTATATATTTAAGTTAAAAAGATGTGCTGTTGACTATCTCTTATTTGCATACTCTCCTGACAATAAAATAATACCAATACAAAGACAAAGAATGCTAAGAAACATCATTCATTCAACAAACCTAGATTTAAATTCAACTTGGAAGACATAATATGAACTAAAATAATGTGTCCTACTGCACCATGAAAGAGGCTATAAATAGCTTGTCATCTACTTGATTTCCTGATAATGTTAGCACTAGTTCACGTTGCATGGGCTGGCCTCATCCCGTTTGACTCTTGCCCTCAGCCTGCGCAGATCTGTGTTCTCACTGTCCACAAGAAGGCCACATTCAATGAGTGTCCAGGCTTTGCTGAGCTTCTGCTCTCCGTAGTGCTGCAGCGCCCCTCGCAAAAAGCTTTCAGCCACACGCTGTCTCCCCAGGCCAGCCTCCACACACTGGATGGCCTGGTCTCTGTGAAGCTGTAGGGCCTGGGCGAAGTCCTCCAGAGCATCTGCCTCTCTGGAACACAAGATCAGGCTGCGACCCCGTCGACAGAGATCCTCCACCCAGATTTTAGGGTCATCCGGACTTGTGGAGTCATGTCTACCTTGCTTCTGGATGACTTTGTCCAGGTCAGCTACGGCCCGCTCGTGTGAGCCGAGCTGTGAAAAACAGGCGGCTCGCTGGCGAAGGTACTGTAACCTCTGATTGCCCATCCCTTGCACCGCCACTGTCAGGAGTGTGAGGGCCTGATCCCAGTGGCCAGCTGATGACACACTGCTGGCCTCCTGTGATGCAGCCTTTAACAGAGTGAATGCAGAGCAGGTAAACGTAAGTTGTTCAGTCTCTGTAGTTTTTCAACATTCATTAGCATAAGTATAACTGCATTTACCTTATGGAAATTAAAATGGCAAAAAACTTTGTAGGAAAAAAAAGTCACCAACAGCAGAAACCAGTTCCAATAGGTTACTTATTTGTACTAAATCCCTGTTCATTTAACTTACCTGTGCTGTACATTTTCGCTGATGAAATGGGATAAGAGCCAGCAAGAAGTCCAGACTAGATAAGTCTTTTTCGATCAGCTTGCTGAGCCTGCGAGCCGCGCAGCGGTAATTCTGTTGCCAGGCCTCCACCACACCCACCCTGGCCTGTGCTACAGCATCCCTTGGCTCCTGGCCAAATACCTGGCATAGATGAGCACTTGCTGCCTGGATATCGCCTGGCGTGCATGGACCAGAGTAGAAAAAAACAAGAGGATTACTAAAAAAATTAATTCAAAGGGGCAGTAAATCACCACACAACATTAGCCACTTCAGCTGTCTAGTCCATTTCACCTTTAGCCAAGAGTATGTCCACATAGAGAAGATGCCATCTTGGATCTCTGCTGTCTGTCCTCATCAAAGCTCTGCCAATTATAAAAGCCTCTCTGAGCTGCGCCTCATGGCAGGGAACAGGGCTTGTGCAAACAGTGTCTGACAGACTGGTACGACAGGACTGATGCAGCCAGTCACAGACCAGTTTCCGTGCTCTGTCCTTGAGTGACAGGATGTCTCTGATGACTGCGTCAGCATTTATCTGAAGAGCCGCCAGGATATCGAGAATGCATTCCTGAGGAGAGAAAATTCAAAACGTGTATTATAGTTATGCCAAAATACACATTTGTCAATAGTATCCAAAGTCTCTTATTCAGGTCAAGCCTTAGACTGACAGGTTTCAGAAATTCACTGTACTCATGGCCCCCTATCTACTTTTATTAGCTTAAAATAGACAAACATGTGGAGGCTATAGTATGTGTGCATATCCAGAAGGTTTCTACATTAATTAGGTTTCCCTGACGAATTGTTTCATAAGTTAGATTAAGCATTGATGGCCTTTCGACTGAAGAATACCTTTTCTTGATTCAGCATGAGATATGTGAAGCCTCTCCCACAGAGGGCGTGCACGTGTTTCGGATGCTCCTTCAAAATGGCACTGAAATCAAATATGGCCGTCTTTCTTTGACCCAGCAGGGCATAGCACCTTGCTCTCTCCAACAGGGAGTCAGATGCCTCGCCACCTTGGAAAACCCAAGTGTTTGATTAGATTTGCAGAATTTGAAATCTCACATATTTTGTTTACCCTTTTTCAGTCAAAACCAACATTTCTGTTTTTGCTTTTGCTCCGCTAATTGTTCTTTCTATAAAGATTCATTTAACACCCACAAATAAATATAATCAGCAATTACAAACAGACAAGTTGCGAAAATCCAAAACTCGTTAACAAGGCTGTAATCACCGGAGGCCATAATAGCAATGGAGAGATAAGCCACAGCCTCTCTGACTGCACCCTCCTCTCCTCTGCCGTCCAGGATGCGTTTAGCTGCTGAGTGGCAGTGTCCCTGCAGCATTGCTCGGTCTCTCTGCCGAGCTACTGCCAACAGGCTGCGCAGGCAGCTGGTATCACCACACACAATCAGCTTTTTCAGCAGCTGCAGGGAAAATACACACAAACACACACACACACACACAAATCTTTGTTTCCCCGTAAAGCTATGTAATTAAAAAACAAAGACTAGGAGTATGTGTTACATGAGGTAGACACACAGATCTTTGATTATTAAGGCATGGTAATTAATCCAATTTTTTAGGGCTAAGGAACAATGTGAGCATAAATAAAGGTGGATGGATGGAATGACTGAGAACCAGAGAACGTCAAATACATCCAGCTACATGTTTTACTTTTCATTTCAAAGGTGGTCTCTTATTATTATAATTTAATTTTATGGTGTTTCCAGAACTGATAGATAGAAAAAGTTTAATACAACCAATATGAAAAGCATATAAATGTGTTGGAGTCATTTAATATTTCAAAAAGATATTGTAAGCTGAACATTTCAATTCTCAATAGAAATACGATGTAGCTGAGTTTGTACTCAGATTTGATAAGACATTTCTAATTAATTAACCAATTCACAGATTAAAAAGAGGGCTTTGAGTTAACTGATTTGTGAAGTTCTGTAGTATACTCTGTGTGTACTACTCGTAATCTTTTCCCCTGCTACATGGTTCTGTGGTTTGTTTTTGTGTACCTGTGTTTAATGCGAAATAAACAAAAGATTCAATTTAATGATTATGTGGGATGTGAGAACAGAATCAACTAATTACAAATGAAGAAATTAGATTTGAGGTTGTGTGAATGACTTTGTGGTTTCTGTGTTTAAATGAGCACATGGGCAAGTGTCTGGAGAGACATTTGGATAAGAAATAGCCTAATTAAGTTTCTCAGCCAAAGTCACAGATAAAAACATGAATAATCAAAAACTCGTGTCTTAAATAACTCCACCTGATTGGTGTCATAATGAAAGCCTCTATGCAGCTGCAGCAGAGCAAGGCGAGCGAGTACAGGTGCCCTAGGATTGGTGGTTCCTATGGAGAGTAGTAACCTGTAGGCTTCCTCCACCCGGCCAAGCTGGTACAAAGCATCTGCTGCGAGGATCTGAGGCCCATCAGCACTGGGCTGCAGCTCCATCAGCAAAACAGCCAGGGACTGGACACCAGCAGGGGTCCTGACACACGAAACACGAAAAGGTGCAACATGGAAAAGAAAATTCGATTGGGCAGGTGATACACTCAACTCTTGACCTTTTTGTTTTAATCGCTGTGTTGTGTCAACCAAAACCATTTTATAACAAGCATCATACCCTGATCTGTGCTTGTCTTTCTTCGATGGATCCTGAAGCTGGCCCTCCTGTTGGGACTGCTGGAAGTCTTGACTGAAAGTGTTGGATTTGTGTTTTGCTGTTGCCTCCAGCATGACCCGTCCCTGCTCCAGCAGAACAGTAAACAGAAGCCCTCGGTAGTTCCACGGCACCAGGCAGCGAAAGGTCAGCGCAGTCTCCTGAGGATGCAGCCCGCTGGCTGTCATGTAGTCTAGAGCTGTTAGATAGTTTAAGCCGCCCATCATGCGCAGGAGCCCCCTGCCACAAAGAGCCCGCACACAGCTGCATGGATGAGGAGCACTGTGTTCAATCACAGCTTGGAAGTCTTCTAATGCCCCCTTGTGGTCATCAGAGACAAGTCTTGAAAATCCACGAAGGACTTGAACTGTGTTTAGATAACTCTGTTGTCCTTGGGCAGCAGCTAGCTGGCTACAGATGGAGAGAGCCTCTTTGTGCTCCCCTCTAAAGAGCAGACAATCAGCCAGTCGCACCCTCAAATCTCTGCCACCCCCGTCAGGCTCTAGATGGCACAGAGTCCGCAATGCAGTGATCACAGTGTCCAGGAGTTCGACTCCTTCAGTGGATCGTAAGTCTGCTCGGATGAGGACCCTCTCCCTGAAACCAGCCAACCCCTTCTCTGCCTGCTGCTGGAGGTGGCAGCGAGCAGCCGTCCCCGTTCCATGAGCAGTAAAGAGTTTTTGGAAGTAAATTCGGGCAGTGGCAGGGTGGATCTCAAATGCTTCCCCCAGATCCCTGCACTCCTCTGCAATCTTTCCACCGGCTGACAGGCAGGCAGCCGCCCGGCTGGTTAGGAGTCTGGCTCTCCTCTCCGGAGAGTCTTGAAGTAATTCGTCTAGGGAATTCTCTGACGTTTTCTGACATGGGCCATAGTGTAAGAGAGCAGCGTACACGTCTGTGCTCTCTGCAAACCGGCCCGTCATAAAGAGATAAGCTGCCTGAAGTTCTTGTGCATCTCTATCACCAGGAGAAATGGCCAATAAAAAGTCAATAGCTGTGGAAACATCCTCTTCATCTAACGTATTTTTCTCCTTTGTAATCACTGCCATCTTAGTATCAAATTCCAGAGAGGGGTATTTGCACATTACTTGGTGACCAAAGACCTTCACTATTTTGGGCAGATGCACAAGTTGTCTGCTCTGCACCAGTCTCACAGTTTCTGATTTGTTCCTCTGGAAAACGTTAAGGTAGAGCCTCGGGCCCTTGGAACTATGAGGCTGTAAGAACAAGCAAGCCAGGGCTCGAGTAATCTCCAGCAACACACGGGTAGAACCTTCTGGATGAGGTTGCCGTTTGCCTTCAAGCAAAGCTGTACATCGAGCAAAAATCTCCTCGCAACCATGCCCACCAGCCTGAAGGAGAGATTCCATTTTAAAAATGGTTGCAGAGAGATTGTTTGGGCTCAAGGTGGACAGAAAAACAGCCACTAAACCCTTATTAAGACCCTCTGAAGGCTGACTGTCGCCATGACTGTCTAGCCAACTTTCCAAGGTACAAATCACCCCTTCCAGACGGGACTTGTCCAGCTTGCGCATGTAGGAGACGGCAGAGGTGGCGTGTGTCCTGAAGGCCGACATAAACAGGGCGGTGGCTTTCCCCAGCTCTCCAGCCTCCAAGAGCTTGTCCCCATCTGAACATAACTTTGAAATGCTGAATTCAGGTTGAACCAAAGAAGTCATGATCAGCCAGAAGCCCCTTTCTTTGTTTAACTTTCAACAGCTGTTCAATTTCATAACACTGTTAAAAAAAAGAAGAAATTAGCACCAGTTCAGTTTTTTTAAACTACCTCCTCTTTTATTATATCAATAGTTTTCATTGTATGAAAATCCAGGCATGACTTATAGTTTACATAAGTAACACTCCATGTAGTAGTGCTAGATAAATGTGATGTTTCAGTTTCTAGACCCATGCTTGTATTTTATACCAGGGACCATTCTAAAAAAAACTATATTTACCACAATTTATCTTAATTTTGTCACTAAACCTTCAGTGTATTTGGATGTCTATGCTGGCTTTTGCACTTCTTTTGACAAAAATAAACAACTAGCCAGAAACATGTTGCATACAAAGTTGCTATGTAATTAGACAACTAAAGACATTTCAGTGTTCAAGTGTCTACATGACAGTCTTCAGATCCTGTTAATGTAATACGTTTTTTCTTTGGATGGCAAAGGTTTTATTGTCTCTGGTATACATTGAAGTTTACAAAGATAACTTTAGGACTTGTTTCTTTGCAGTATTCTTCAATAAGCAAACGTTTTATAATAATATAATGTTATTTCAGAAAATGGCATGGCTTTCGCTAATTTCATTTAAGGATTAACTTTTCTTTCCATCTCTTTCTGACAGGCTTTTTTTGTTTTTTGAACAAAATAGGGTTGAAATGGCCTGATTCTGCCAACCAGAAACTCAATCGTCATAAAAAAGTACAAAAAATATAGCTGCATAATGGATCTCTCGATATTTTTGTGGGGTGCTAAACACATTTTAGCGCCCTTGTGTGGCATTTTTCTCGGCTATTGTTAACCTGCCATCTCCTTTGACTCTTTTTTTCGGTAAATAAAAGCAATACGAAATAGCTTTTGCTTTATTCTATACGTTCGAACTAGAACACTCACTCGTGCATCCGGTTAGTGTCACCCTTTTTTCTGAATGAGACCGTCCCACCAGCAGCCTTCTCTATTGGTAATTCAATCGTTCCAGGCTCCGGGTTGCCTGGACAACACGAAAGTCGCACAACAGAAATTACAGATAGTTCTTATTTAAGCGTGTGGGAAGTGGAACACGCAGGATAAATAAATATAAACTAACTGACCGCAAAAAGTCTCACACCTCGGTGAACTCCTCCTGGTGCTGACACCTCTCCCGTCAGCAGGGGACAGTTCTGTGCGCGTGCTGCTGATCTGCGGAGCACGAACTCGGTTGCCCTTGGAAACCACATACGTTCGTACACAGACCACAACACAGCAAAGAGATGAACTGCGCCCACTGGTCAACCTCCTTATTTCTTAATACTTGGAAACAAGTAAAAACGTTTGCATAAAGCTGTTCCTTTACAGACAATGCAGACGCAGGGGGAAAGGTTTTTCTTCAATACCAATAGGAAGGCATTTTATTCCCTCATGGAAAGTTCTAATGCAGAAAAACAAGTGTATTTGTTCGCACAGGTTTTTATTTATTTTAACTTATTCTGGATGTTTTTTTTTTAAGATCTAACAAAACATCTAAGGATCCATCCAGGTGATAAACAGGAAATCCCATTTTGTAATTCCTTAATCAGGTGGTGAATTAAAAAGAAAAATCCAACTAAACAAATGATTGATGAGGCATTGTGTGTGCAGACACCGATTGAGTATGAGAAACACTCAAGATGGAGACTTTTTTTCATGCAAGGAACTTGGACAATGCAGGCCAGCTGGATTATATTCTCTTTGCTGAAGCAGAATTTGCAATTCATGAGGTTTTCTTGATCCACCTCAAGAATAAAAGCTCTTCCAAAAGCCTGCCCACATTCTTTGATGGGGTCCTGTGCTCCAAGTATGCTACTGCTCTCCAGCTGCTTCTGTTCAGACACTAGCACGTTATCAACAGTTTTATTTATGACATATTATGTCATAACATTTGTCCCTTTTCAGATAATAGGTATATGATTGGTAGCAGCATGAAAGACAAGAATGAAAAGAATCTCTGACCAAAAAGTTAAGTTTATATTTAAATAGTTTTAGGAATTTACAAATAACAGTACTGGATAATATGTACAAATACAGATATTTCATTAGACCATCACACACATTTATATTAAGTCACTAAACAATAAACACCAAGAAATTGGAAAGTCCAAGTCCTTTAAAGTCAGGTAACTGAAGTGACAAAGAAAAACTCTCAAAGTGAGATACCCAAACACCACAATAAACAAACCTCAGTTTGTGTGGAATACGTGTGGTGAGGAAAAACCCAGCCAACTGACACCTCTAAGTTGCAGGAAACTGAAAATCTGACAACCTTTGGGGAATTCAGTTTTCCCCTTTTATGAGGGTGTGCAACTACAATCAGTGGCTCTACCAGGCTTTAATGTCAAATCAAGACAAGGAAATGTCAAGCGTGGTTAAAATGATCTGCAGCTGTGCTGCTCAATACATCACAGATGTACTCAAATGTTTACACACCATAAAATGCATAAACTGGAGGAGTTCAAAACAGGACAAAGGTGAGCAGTCTTCTGAAAAAATACAGCTCAGCTGTGTTGAACTTTGAGGTTCACCGGTATTTAGTAAAAGGCTTTCCCTTATTTTTAAAACTAGTAAAGATCAACATATGAACAATGAAGCATGGAGTGCTATAAGAAACAAATTCTTTTGTTGGTGATGTTCTTGCGAGAATACGTCACTTGATTCAAGCTTTCGTACAGTTTGTGAGTGTGCATTTTGTGTGTCTCTGTGTATCCAGGTGTTGGTCTGTCCAGGCAGTATTCTGCCTCCTGCCCAAAGAAAGCTGGAATAGGCTTCAGCCAACCACAAACCTGAACTGGGTGAAGCACTGATTAGAAAAATGGACAGATGGATGGTTTTCATTGTAAGTCGAGTTCAAGTCCACTGAGCTGAGCTCATTTTGTTATCCTAAAGTCGTGTACTTGTTTGGAATGCACTTAATGTTAAACTGTTCTATGAAACACAAAGGGGGGAAAACACTCAGAAGATAGAGTATAGAAACCTCCCCATCCCCTGTTGTGCCACTGAATGGCTCAAGTAATTTGTAACATCCTTGCTGTTGCTTGTGGGTAGGCTATACCACATAGAAATCACAGTAAATAACAACTTTCCCAAAAACTTGTGATTTTTGTGCATGGCTGTCTGAGCTTAAAATCTTGAACTGTCCAACTGTTTTGGCCCATTCGGTCCCGTAAATATCCTCAAACTGTACATCCTTGCTGTTCCTCAGGCTTCCACTGCAGCTTCTCCAGTCTTTCCTGCAACAGCTGGGCACAGCCTGATAAATCCATGTAATGTAAGGATGAGTAAATATCATCCAGGCTCGCGGAGGGGTGCTGGCTCCACAGCCTCAGCATCTGGTACTGCTTCTCTGTGGAATCCAAACCGGCCTCCAGTTCCACTCGCTCCATCTGCTGGTCAGCCATCGAGAGCAGGCGCAAAAACTCTTTCCATCTACGCAGGGGCACCTCCTTAATGATGGCATAGAGCACAATGGCGGGCCACTGGTCCCGGTGTTCATCTTGTCTTTCAGCTGCCCGATAGAATGGGAGACATTGAACACACCAAAAGCAACAAGTGAGTAGAAATGAGCTTGTTGTTGGCTCAGGATTCTAATGCTTGACCACAAAGAAATATCTCTTTCTCCAAGGCTCTAACATATCTCAGTCACGGCGCACAGCAGATTTTCTTTCATCGGTTGTCTGTTGAGTGTCGACTATAATTCAGCCTTTTTTTGTACGCAAGTTATTAAACTAAAAAAACAAACAAAACACATTCCACTGAAAATGATCAGGTGTAAGGACTGAGCAAAGATTGTTAGAAAGAGCAACAAATGTCCAGACAAAACCTTGAAAAAAAAGCCTGGGCCTTTTAGACACTTTTTTTTTTTTTACAGTATTAGAAAGCCTGATATTTCTTGGGACTCGCCCACATAAAAATACAAAGAACGCTTGGTTGTTTGGATGTAAAATAGAAAGTAATTAAGGAGGGGATCAAGTATATGCTGTGGGTAACGTGTCACAGTGTTTGCTAAAAATTCTAGTCAGATTAGATGTATTGTGATGTCTAATAGGGAAATGCATCCTTATCTGATTTACCATTTCCCTTAATGTCAATTTGCTGACTTGAGAAAAAAAGTGAAGGCGTCCTGCTTCCTTCTGCACACCACGCATGATTTGTGATAAATGTTTGCAGAGCAAACAGCAAAGACTATGAGAACCCAACAGAAGACGCCAGACAGGCAGCTCATCACCACCTTAAAGATATCTTTAAATCGCATTGACTCACACGGTGTTATTCATAGATTGCTTGAACATTTTGGCTTTCTTGTTCACCTCCATGTATAATCTTAAGTAAAAGTAACTTTTAGCACCTACTGATCAGCCAAACTAGACAAACTTTCCTACTGACTATGAACCTCTCTGCATCTTAAATGTTTCCCACATCACTAACGGGATGTATTAGTCCTATTCTCGTCCCGATTGCTTTGATTTGATTTGATCCACTGCTTTAGCAAATTGTTATGCTTTCTATCTTTCTAATATAAGTAACAAAAAAGTATATCTTCATCTAAAGCACAGGATCACTAAATAATTTGTTTCTAATCCAGACAGGCCAGGTAACTTTCAAATAGTCTGGTTCTTTTCAAGTTCTAGCTCTCTTTAAAACAGAGGTTTAACCCGAAAAAAACGTTTTGTTTTTATCTGTTTAAGATCAAATTGAAAACCGCCATTTTGTCCAGAGGAAGAAAGTTGTTTCTTGTTTTCAAAGACCAAAATGTCTCCGAAAGTATGAGGTCACCTTCAGGTATAGTAGAACAGGCGACAGTTTCAGTGTTTTTTCTGTTTTATCTGTACTCTATTATCATCATCCTGCAATTAAAATAGTCGTTGGCAGCCGGCATTGTAACTACTAACAATACAATCATGAAATTGTCTCTGATTTTAAATAAAAAGATTAGATAGTACATATTTAGATGTACATTTGAAAAGTCTTGTACTAACTAGATGTTGCATAGGCAGATGTGCACAATGTGTGTGAAACTACTTCAAACTTAATTTCTTCTCAAATGATTATTGGAATGAAATATGCTTCAACTTCCAACTCTCGAGCAGTCCAGTGCTGACATCAGTGCTAGGGAGGAACCTTTTCAAAACAACATATCATACAAAGCAAAAACATGTCCGAAAGCAGTGACTTGTGGCTGGATATAAAGAACTCCATCTCACCCATGTGGTGGCTGACGTGAGCAGGTGACTCCTGATGGAGAGGAATCATGGGGGTTTCCTCGGGGATGTCGAATGTCTTAAAAAGACGATTAAGAAAAACAAAATAAAACTCTTTTCCCAGCCATGTCCCTTTTTTCACTACCCACAACATATCTCAGCTATTTATTACTGATTTGGCACCGTTTAAAGTCAGCTATGACGACAACGTTTCACCCTTGCTCCTCTTGACCTTTGTGTCTGTGCGTGTGTCTTTGGGACTATTAGAAACTCCTTTAACTGTCTAGATGCACCACTGCAACTATCTTGATCTGTATCTGAGGTGAACACAAAGTGTAAGAAACTGAGCACAAACCACTGTGGCTGGACTGGTGCCTCCATGACTGTGTTGCTCTGCTGGAAAGGAAGCAGATATGATCGTTGAGCCTTCTGCTGTTAAGGGACAGTTAGATGAGAAAGTAAAGAAAAAGGAATTATTTTTTTGTCAGAGTAAGAGTTCAGAAAAATCTGCGAGATTTTACGTCACATTTAGTCACACAGAAGTGATGGGCAACTTAAAATCTGTTTTTTGTTTTAAAGAATGGTCACAAAAATACAAATAATAATGAAGAAAAAGGGTCAATTTGCTGGAAGACCTTGTGACCAAATGCTGCTTGCTTTTTGAAGAATATCGGAAGTATTCCGACAGTATGGAGAACCTGGGAATTCACTGCTATAGTTTCCACCATATTGGTTGAAAATGTGTGATATCCGATTGTAGTGGGGGTTTTGAGTGCACCTTTGGCTGGGCCTCAGCCCTAATGAATGGCAGCTGTTTAAAGCCCGCCTGGCCTCTGGCCTAATCCCCCTGTGTCACTTCTTGTTCTGCCTCCACTGTGGCTTGGTCTTCTGTGGCCTCCTGATAGGTAGTTGTACCTATAAGTTGTACCTATATTGTCATTCATTAGGTCTTTTTACATAGGCCTCCCTGTAGCCAGAAATGTCCTCCATCTGCACGGGAGGGGGAAGCTGGAGAGTGAGCTTTGAAAGTTGATTGGACAAATCCAGTCTTTATGAGGATTAAACTGCTCACTGGTCCAAATGAATGAATCAAGCTAAAGACACCATAACTGGTGGGATTTATCAGCTTGGCTGTCTTTTCTTTAGTTTTATAATTTCATATTTATGAGGTAGCACCAAGCTTCCATCCCCAGGTACTACAAATGATTTCACTCTTATGATGGCTTGACTGCATACGACGCCTTCTTTTATGATATACTGTATATTAGAGGGAAATATATTCGATTGAACTGAAAACTTCTCAGATGTACACAAAACACAGCACTTGAGGAAATGTGCAAAGTTTCCATTCAACAACTTCTTTACCTTTGAATTTTGGATGCTGAACATGTGTTTCCAAATCCTTGTTTACGCTCCAGAAATGACATTTGGTTTGGGTTTTGAGGCAGAGCAGCATACACACTAGAAATGTAGCAAATAGAACTGCAGCCACCACGAGTAGAGGCCAGGCCTCTACAGTCATATGTTCTGTCGAGACAAAAGAAACACTGACATCATTCCACTGGTCATCACCTCTGCTTTTAGGAAATGTGGGCATACTCATATTAGACACCAAAAAAAGAGAATATAGAAAACAAAATATCACACTGAAGTTACATCAAAGCACACGTCACACTTATGACGAAACACACAAGTGTGTTATTGACATTTATTATCAAATTCTTATGAGAGAACTAACGTTTTTCTGGAACTTCAGTTCCTCTCACAGTAGGGTTGTTCACTGTTTGCATTCCCTCCAGAGCCAAGGTTGAAGCATGATCAGGAGCAATGGCTGTCAAAAAGTTAGTTAAACAGTGACAAAAATGACAATTCTGAAATAGCATCATTCCAAGACAGCTTAACATGACTTTTCATTCAACTCTTACTGAATTGTGTTTGCTTAACATAGATGAACGTCTGGTGTTATTTAAAAGGGATTCAAATAAATAATTCTGGTAGGTGTACTTACTCTCTGTGGTCACGTGTGTTTTTGACCGAGGGGCTTTAGAGGACAGAATTGCATTAGAGGCACATTTCCTCTTGAAGTCCTCATTTTTCCTACATTTTTCACTAGAAAAAGGTAAGCCACTGTTAATAGCGAGAAACACTGACAGGAGAGTTTGTTGTTTTCATAGTGAGCTGTGGTTTGCAATCATTGTTTGCTATCCTTGTATTCATCCACTTTTATCAAAAATGTTTCCGACCACTCTAAGAGTAAATGTGTCAAAGTTATAAAAATCACATTTTTTCTCTGAAGCTTGATTTAATGAGCAGGAAACCTAATTGGTTAAATGAAGTTTTCTTGAGTCATGTAGCTCTGTTTTAGACTAATCTGAAAAGCAGCAAAAAAAAGTAACAATGTAAGCGATCCGCTTACTTTATTCAAATCTGACAGGTAAAGTGTCAAATGATCATATTGGAGAAACGTTGGAACTTGTATCGTTTGTTGTTCATCAAAAGCTACATTTCTTTCTATTGAAAATTGTATGAAAGGAATAGCTGCAGTTTATCCAAAGTGGATTAAGAGTTTTATTTGGATGCGTATTGCATGTGTTGTGTACGGGTTATGTGATCATTGCTAAGAAACTGTCATCAACTCTCTGCACAGAAAAATGTTGCTTGAAACTTAAAAAAAGCAACTGGCTTGGGAAGCTATTCTGCCTTCACCACAGAAATGGGCTTCACCTGAATGCTTGAATCTGCAAAGTTGGATCTGTTCACCTTAAAGGTAGAACAACAATCAGAGCAAAGGAAAACTGGGCGCAGCTTGCCAAGATTGCAGCTGAAAATTGGCTCATCTAGCACACAGGCCTATCAGTTGATGGTTATCAAATTATACCCAGACCAGAGCAGAACTGATAACTCAGCAAAATGATCAACAGTGAGAAAATTTAAAATTTCAAAATTTAAGAATGCTGCAAAATGAGTCCAAAAAGAAGGATTTAACATATCATACTGTGTCTGAAGTGTTGTGTACCTCTCTTATTGTAGACCTGTCAATAAGTCTGTTATTCAGAAACAATCAAAGGGCAGAGAATACTGCTCTCTCCTTTGATTTTCAGACCTATCCGCTTGCAGACTGAGACTCTCAACATCCGCTGCTCAGCACAGGTAGTGCGAGGCCTCCATGAAACCACAGGAACTGACTGTTCATAACAAATGCTAAAAAAAAAGAGCTTCGAAACTTCACATGACATCCCAAGGATGCTCAGTTCCAAGCCCTTAAAATGTGCAAAAGACATCTACTTTAGAAAAAAAAAAGTCAAAGTAAATTGAAGATCGGTTCTAAAAGGTTGAGAAATCATATCATTGTTCAACTGCTATGGGAAGCAGTGTGACCTATATCCACATTGAGTGGTAGGGGCCGCTAAGGTGCACAACCTACATTAAAGTCACTGAAACCTGCGGCCCAGTGAATGCAGGAGCAGGATATTGAAGTGTTTCAAAACTAATACCTTGACAAATTGCTCTAAGGAGTTTTTTGGGGCAGTCATAGGAGCTAAAACGCCAGAGATTTACTTGAATTGTTCACAGTCTGTTTTTACTTGCATTACTTGCATTACATTTCAGATTTATTAGGTGCTATCCCTGCTGCATATATGCAGATTTTCATATTTTTTTTAAGAAGTTTGTGCACTTATTAATCTGCCACGAGAAGATGACAAAAATAAAGACGTTCCATGTTTTTTCTTTGCCTTCTTCAGAGATATCTTAAGGTCCCTTACCTGAAGGATGCCTCAAGGCAGTCAACTGTGGAAGAAATCAACACACTTATTTTATTTGTTTGTTTTGTGTTTTTAAAAAGAGGCTAATTCAGTCTAGCTGCTGTGTGCACCACACTGGGCCTTTTCTCACCTTTGGCACCTGGACACTCGGTACAGATATGGTCATCATCATAGTATGATCCGTCTCTGCAGTCACATCTGATATCGCTATCCGGTAAACATTTCTGTACAATCACTTCATTACCTGGAAGGGGGGGGGGGGGTATGCATCAATCTATTGCATCATCAGACAGTCAGAATTCAACACTGCTCTATGTGCGTTGGTCTCACTTGAGGTCACTGTGCGCAACGTCAGAGCTACTCAGCCTTACTATGAGACATAGGCAGCGCTTGCGTTTCTGTCTGCAGACAGGCCTGTACAGTCACACTTCAGCCATACTTACGAGCACAGTCGCCACACCGCTGGCATTTCCCCACGGAGTTATGCACTGCAGTGAAGGTGCCACTTTCGCATTTTTTACATTTGAATTTTCCCCCAGAATTTGCACAGTTACCTCCGTTTTCTTTATATTCTCCTGAAAGAGGATCAAGAAATCAAGACGGAGGTTAATGGTTGTAAGTCAATGGTAAAAGTCCAACAAACCCCGGCACTTAAACTCCGAACTCCCCAAAAATAACCCAGTGATTAAACCTGTTAGATGCGCTTACCGGGTGGACAACTAAGGAGACATTCATTGCTGGTTTGTTGAGTCAATACAGCGTGACACTGTCCACTGGATATAAGAACGAGAATCAGCTGAACGACCTGAAAGGAAACATTCAGGCTTTGATGATCCTGGTACTGTATTTACTCTCAAAGCGGCCACACAGTTTGTCGGTCCTCAGAAGACCAGGGACAGTTTTTGTCCACGCACAGTACAAACCTTTTCTATTTCTTTATTTTGTGGCAATATAATAAACTAGATGTCTTTGGACTTGTATCATATGCTCAAGATGACAAAACATTCACCTGGACTACAGATCAACTTTGTTGGTTTTGGTTAGTTTCTCATAAAACTCTTTAAAAACAGAATAACTGTCACATCAGCAGAACAAATTCATCCATTAACACATAATGTGTGTCACTTCCTGAGACCTTGATAGAAAATGTCATTCAGAGACATTTCTTTTCTCTGTGTGAGACAATTTAGTGGAAAAACACTTCAAGTTTCAGCACTGATTTCTTCATGAATGAAGCCTAAAGAATGGAGGTATCTGCCAGGAATGACAATAACACAAGAGTCGAGTTACTAAAAACAACATTTTTCACGCCCTGTCTCCAGATAAAAAATAAATAAATAAGAAAGTGACACCTGTTTGTTTGTCTGCTTAATTTTAAGGTCCATCAATGGATATCTGGATATTTTTAATCAGATGAAGAACTGATTTGGGTTACTCACCCACACAAAATCCATGTCAGGAGTGCAGACCGTGGAAGAAGTCAAACAAATAACTTCTGATGAGTGAGAGTTTCACTCATTTGACAAAACCAAAGGGATTTAAAAAAAGAGTTTAAATGGATGTTCTTATTGTCTCAAACAGCACACTGAGCCGCTGAAGCATTCTGACCGTCGCCCGTGTAAATTTCCTAACTGACTGAAACTGACAGTTGAGTCGAGGTAGTTTTTCGTGAATTAGCTTGCGTAGTTGTTGGTCAGAGCTGTCACTTCCTTGGAGTCTAACGAGAAGCTGAGCGAGAAACAGGAAACAGCATGAGATCACACCAACACATGCCCCGATCCCACACACACACACAAACTTCCTGCAACGTCAGTTCCTACACCCAGATTTTTCAGACAATTCCACAGAATAGTGGTGATGCGAGGGAGCTGATCTGATGAGATGCAGGGAAATGATTCATGAAACGCATACCTGGCTTAGATGTGGTGATGCTGGTTGTGGTGCTGCCTGGAAGGTTCCGATTATGCTGTCTCCATCTTCCTTCTGAGGCCAAAACAAACAAATTCACAAGCTGAAATGAAAGTCCGCAGTAAAACGTTTTCAGTATGTTATGTGTGTGCGCTTGACACACTGTTTAAGAGAAGTGTGAATACAGGATTAAGGGAAAAAAAAGATGAAGGTGGCACCAGGTGGGTGGGATTCTTCATCCGTCAAGTGACTGTTCGGCTATGGTTTGCATTACACCTGAAATGCTTTCAAATCCCTGATGGCAGAACAGGACCTGTAACAGATCTGCTTTCGGAGAGAGACAGAGAGGGATTTACAAGTATGTCAAAGCTGCCAAAACAATGGTGCACAATAGTATAGCGTGTTAAAAAGGTCACGGAAACAGAGGGAACATTTGTTTCTCTCTGCTGATATGGTTATGATAAGAGACTTTAGAATTTCACCATGTGAAAGGTTCCTCTATATTTCTGAAATGAGTCAGGCAACAAGGATTGGAAAACTTTGGACGAGCTAGTTTTAAGAACTTTTATTTGCTGAGATTTGGTTTACAATTCTTATCTGAGTCATGATGGCTTTGGTAATCCCCTGCCATATTCTTCTAGGTTTTTCATTCGGGTTCAGGAAATTGACCTATTCGATTGTACCCTGGGGATGTTCAGACATTCCACTCTCCCGTACAGTGCTGACAGGCTTCAGTCACGTCTCACCCTGTGGACTTTTTTTTTATTTTGAACAATATTGACATGAGATTAATCAGTGACTGGTGAGTCATGGAACTTACAGGTGGATGGAGCCTGCTGATCAAACAAGAAGCACTAAAAAGCTTTTCACAGCTTCCAGACTGAAAGAGTACATTTAAAAGATGGAATAGGGAGTGTGAGAAGAGCTGCATCTGAAACTGTTCATTAACGAAGCAGCTTATCTAAATCTTACGGCGTCTCAGTGACAGGCTGTTATGCGGGACAAGGCAAGTTCATTTGTACGGCAGCTCATAGAGCTTAAAAAGGCAGGTGGAAGAAATTAGTACATTAAAAAAACAGCGCATTCAAATAAGGAAAAGCACAGGGAAACAGCAGTGCAGCTAAATGGATTTTCACCCAGTTTGGTCCTAACTCAAGGTTTAACAAGCTTCTACTGGCACATACATAATGTTGTACATAATGATAAATGTTTGTGTAGACATAATAACATCCAGGCCTTCTTAATTCACTGGTATGATCACGTAATAAAGTTCACAAGAAATAAACTAATTGATATACATATTTTCTTGTGTATAAAAACCTGTTATAACATTTCTGTCTTAAATCAGTGAGGAACAACAAACTTAGAATTCAAAATCAGTACATGGCACAAGCTGTAATGCAGCCTGTGTTAAGATAACTTTCCCCATATCCGTGTTTTTCAGTGTAAAACTTCGAGGGAGGAGTGCATTTTACACATCCACTGCAGGAGCACGCTGCAGTTTTTTTCAGCATTTATCTAACTGATGCCTTAATTTGGCCTCAGGTAAAGAACATGGTCTGTTCAGTGGAGATGTCACGTGGAGATTTTTTGAAACTATGCATTTATTTTTAGGGTCAATTTCGCCTCTCCTCCAACTGCATCGTGTCTTTTTTTTTCTTTCTTTTTTTTGTAGCATATTTCCATTGATGGTGTGAAGATGAAACATCAGGCATGTAGCGGGACCGGCATGGGGGGGTTTATTTTGGTCTGCGTTTCTTTCCGTCCTTAAGGAGGAAAACACGGTATTTTATGGCACCGCTTGCTTTTGCTTGTAATGGAGCACTCGGTCTTTGGGCATGGGGCTACCGAACCCGTCCTCATTTGCAGATCTGCCGGCTAAAGCCAACCGAACGGTTCAACTTATAGGGACGCGGAAGAGATCGCGATATGTGTTAAGGGGATAAAAACGCCTCACGGGTGACAAAAAAAGCACCCGATCCGTGAGATAAAAAAGAAAGAAAGAGAGAAAAAAAAAAGAAAAGAAAAGCCAAAAGCTCCATTTGCAGGTTTCCCCCCTGTGTGTGTCTCTCCTCCGTGCTGCGCCTGCAGCGGCACCCAGAAGTGAACAAAGCGACCCGGAAGCGGTGGTCCGACTGGAGGCAGAAAGAACATCAAGCTTTTATATTATAGCAGTACTCGCAAGACAATATCTGCAGCCCGGACACCAGGTATTTATGCACGTCTCTTCGCCTTTCGGCCGCCGCGCGTGCCTCTCGCGCGGCGGTAGCTTCCCGTGCGCGTGCATTGTTCGCCAAATGCCATTTCTGTCCCCTTTTGGCTCGGCCAAAAGTTGCAGAACGCGAAAAGAAAACCCTAAAAGTGGAATTCGGGTAAAGATGGCCCGGCGTGCCTCGGGAGGCGGTGCCGTGCGCGCGGGGTCGTTTTTTGGACGTTAACAGGCTCCTTTGGATCGGCGCAATGAGTCCAGCTTGTCCGTTTCCGTGCTGTTTTTTTTTTTTTTTTTTTTTTTTTTTTTTTTTGCAGGGCATGGTTGTTGTAGGAAGTGTCAGGGTTTTTTTTTTAGGAGGTGGGGAGGCCGGGCTATTCAAAACCTGCGCCTCGCCGTAAACAACCGTCCGTGCCTTTGACATGATCAACACACCTTTTGTGTCCGTCTCTCGGCCGCGTCCCCCCCCCAACGCCCCCCCTCAAACCCCCGTTCCCAGCCGCCCACCCACCCACCGCAACATCCTCCTCCTTCGCGACGAGATGTTCATGCTCCTAAAAAAAAAAATAAATTTTGTGGGGGGGGGGGGGGGGTCTGCAGAATATGGCGTCCCGCCTTGTCAAAAAAAATAAGGCTGCCATTTTTGTTTCTCTTTTGTCTGGAAATGTTTTAAGAAAACTGTCTGAGTATGTCTGAGAGGCACCGGGAGGCTCGGTTCGTTCAACCCCCCCTCCTTCCATCAGTCCGAGTCCAGAGGTGCTCCCAGACTGCCGACATGTCCGAAAAGTCAAAGAGGGCAAAGTTTCTCCCCCCCCTTCCCTCCCTCCCTCACCCCCACCCCCCCTCCTCTCGCTCTCCCTCTGCGTTTGTCTGGATTTTTAAAGCAACGGCCACTTATTTCCCAGGAATTCAGACAAAAGGAGCAGAGGAGCTGGAAGCTAGGCGGCTAACTCTGGCAGGCTAATGCCATGTTTTTTTTGGGGTGTTTTTTTTGGGTTGTAAAATAGAGGAACAGGCGTTTCTGTGACATTGCGGAGGTGGAGTTGTGAGGATTTTTTTTTTTTTTTTACTTTGACACACGAAAAGTCAATTCAGCTCAGTTTTGAGTTACAGGCACGAAAATCAACACACACAGCAAGTTTATTACAGCCTCACGTGTCAGTTTATTACTCAGGTACAAAAGCTCATCCTCAGTCATTAAAGGAGGCCACCCAAACATCATCGTTATTTCAAAGAAAAGAAAAAGGGGAAGCCTACTCGAGACCCACTTAGTTTTTTTCCCACCTTTGCTCTGCCTCCTCCTGGGAGGCTGATGTTGTTCAGTTGTCATGGAGATGGCCCCTCCATCATGAGTAAACTCATCCTGGGGAAGACTGTGAGGTGTAAATGAGACATGGGAAAACCCCCAAAAGAGAAGGCCTCCACTTCAGCTTCTAAATGCCAAAGCTAAAGCCTGCCAGCTGTTTTTTTTTTTCAGAGGTCAAACTTTGATGAAGCACAGATTTAAGATGTCGATAAGCATTATTTTTTTTCACAATTGGTATTCTAATATTTTCAAAAGTGGTATTTTTAAAATAAATAACTCGTGACATCTGCTCCCTGAGTATGTCGACAACTCAGTCAATTCATTTCTAAAGTACTTAAAGCTTGTTTTGTGATGAGTCACTGTAATATCTGCTTTAAAACAAACTGCTTAATCTCTGTGTCCAAATACAAGAACTGTTTTTAAAAAGTTAGTTTAAATTCACTAATGTTGAAATTTGATGCTTTATCTGAAAATCCACCCCAAAAAAAGCAGACTAGAGGAAAAGAAAAAGAGAAATAGATCAAAATGACCATCAGCCTGTGGAGGGGCAGCCTGCTGGACGGCCTTCACATTAAAAACTCTTTTCATTGGACCAGTGGATTGGTCCACCGTGGGGTGGACTTGTGGTCGCGTGCGTGTCAAAGTTTGAACGTGTCAGCTCTTCGTCCTCTGCTTATTATATTTGAATGTGTCGTATGCTGTCAAATGTGCTCTTTAGTCAGTCAACCACTCAAATAAATGTCCTTCTCTTCAGGATGGCAGAGCCTCGATTTAACAACCCCTACTTCTGGCCTCCGCCGCCCTCCATGCCGGGCCAGGTAAGCCCTTCACATCATGTCTCCGCTGGGCCGTTTCCCACCCCCCTTCCCCCCGATTTCCGTGTGTGAATGTCCTTCCGGCCGCTCGGCGCCAGTGTGCCGCAGGAGCGAGGGATAATAAAGGAAATTCCGCGTGCCGGTCGCCATCTTTTGCCCCGCGATCAGGCTTGAATGGCATTCACACACGGCTGCTGTTTTCTGTTGAGCATGACCCGTTAACCCTTTCAGCTGGATAACCTGGTCCTCATTAACAAGATTAAGGAGCAGCTGATGGCCGAGAAAATTCGCCCCCTGCACCTGCCGCCCACCTCCGCCCCCTCTCAGCAGTCCCTGCTGGTGCCCACCTCGTCCCCGGACGGCGGCGGCCAGCACGGCATGTCCGTGCCCAAGCCCCAGCCCCAGCAGGTGCCGGGCCACCACCCGCAGTCGCAGGCCTCCGGCCAGCCGGACATCGCCCTGCACGCCCGCTCGGCCTCCAGTTCCGGGCCAGGTAATGGTTTACGAAATGTTTTCGGCCGCTCTTCCTCCGTCTCCGTCGGTGAAATCTGTGCGGCTTTGGTTATCGGTAACAATAAAGAGCTCGGGTCTGGGTCCGGTACAGATTCAATGCCCTCCTTTCCTTTCTCCCCAGATGGAAACATGGACGACAAGTCGGCGGTGAAGGCCAAAGGACTGTGGGAAGATTGGCACATGAGGCAGCTGAGCGAGCAAGCGGGCCGGGTCAACCATCGATCAGGTACCGCCGCCACGTGCTGACCGGTCATTGCTGACCTGTGTTGCGCATGCTGATTGTGAGTTTGTGGTAAATTATGCTAGAACGGGCTTGTTTATCCAAGGGAAATGAACAGACATTGCACGGCTGGGATAAAAGGAAGTGAATGTTCTGGAAAAAGTCAAACTGGACAGAATGCGTCGAGAAACTGGAGAAAGAGCGTAAATGGCTAATAGATGTGGTTTCCGCCCCCCCCCCCCCGCAGGTCTGGCTCCCTCATCCCGGCCCGACAGCCACAGCACCTCGGAGGCGCTGACCCCCACCACCCCGACCTCCAGCAGCCAGATCCGGCTGGGCGGCGCGCCCTCGGTCAACATCATCTCCGGGCTGGCCAGCGGGCCCGGCATGGACCACATGAAGGCCGGCGGCCTGGCGGGACTCCTGGGCCCGCCGCCCAAGGCGCCGCGGGGCAGGAAGAAGATCAAAGCGGAGAACCCCTCGGGGCCGCTGCTGGTGGTGCCCTACCCCATCCTGGCCGACCAGGGCTGCGTCACCGTCGCTCCCAAAGAGGGCAAAACCTACAGGTTGGACTCGTGAAGCCGCTTCTGAGAGGCTCCTTTTGGCTCCTTTCTTTAAGCCCCCCCCCCCCCCGAAAAGCCGCATCTTTGAATGGTGATTCTGAAATGAACATTTTATTGGAGCACAGCTGCAGTCCGGAAATCTTACGTAAGAGGTCTTAACGAGCTGCTATTCACTCCCGATTTCTGACTTGAGAAATGGAAGAAGAGCCCATTTCTTTGGAATTTCATCCCATTGCTAAACCGATAATGCTTAGCTTTGCTTAGGTCCGGGCCCGATATGGTCCAGCCCAGTTTGGAGGAGCGGAATTCAGTTTAATTTTAGTCAGAACGTGTTTATACACAATTCAAAAGTCTAGGTTAGGTCAGGCTGAGCAGCAGAGGCTAGCAACCCCCCCCCCATGACATAAGAGGAAAATGCTAGATGGATCTCTTCTTGATTATTAGCAGCTCATTTTCACACCAAATGACACACAATTTTTTAAGTTTTTACGCAAACGTCATCTAACACCGTCTGTTTTGTTGTGGTTCTTTTTGTCACTAAGATGCAAAGTCTGCCCGCTCACCTTCTTAACAAAGTCGGAGATGCAGATTCATTCCAAGTCCCACACAGAGGCCAAACCACACAAGTGTCCCCACTGCTCCAAGACCTTCGCCAACGCCTCCTACCTGTCCCAGCACCTGCGCATCCACCTGGGGATCAAACCCTACCACTGCTCCTACTGCGAGAACTCCTTCCGTCAGCTGTCACACCTGCAGCAGCACACCAGGTCAGTCCTACCGTAGGGGCCCCGAGGTCTTACTATCCCCCCACTGAAATGTTCTTCTGATCCTTTTCTAATTAACACCAAGTCTAGGTAAGCCACATAACTTGCAGGTTAAACTGAAGTTTAGAAATGGTCTGCTCAGGGTTTTTTGTGGGCTCAACTCCAACTAAATTAGCCTAACTGGACTTAATAACGAAGGTAGCATGTCATCTAAACGGGGAATTATAGGGGATTTGTCAGTTCAGTCTCTTGTTTAATTATACAAATATTATTATATTATACATATATTATGTTACACTGAGTTAAATATGCATCTAGAAGCTGCATTTTGTGTGTGAATTCTGCTGTTTCATCTTGTTTACCATTCTTCAGGTCAGTTATTCACAGTACTGGTCTGGGAAAACCAGTGCCTGGCACGTTTTAGATGTTTCCCTACTTTGGATCACCTTATCGAATAATAATAATAATATATTTTCTTCAGAAGCATACGAGGGAGCAGAACCATAGAGGTGTGCTTGAGGTGGCCTCTGTCATCACACCTTTTTGTCTGCTTTGTGTTGCTACAGAATCCACACCGGCGATCGGCCGTATAAATGTGCTCACCCTGGATGTGAAAAGGCTTTTACCCAGCTGTCCAACCTCCAGGTAGGCGACAACTCCTCCCTGCTAACGCTTTGCAGCGTGAACGCATCGTGACCACAGAATTCAGAGTTCCAAATGCTGAAAGTTCCACTTTTAACGTGTGTAATACTGAAAGTCGTCAGCTGTTAGATTCCAAACTACGTGTGATATTTACTTCCATGCGCGTTCTTTTTTGTACGATCAGATTGTCTCACTGCGTGCACCACCTGATGAGCATTTCTTTTGATCTCGTAACCCTTGACTCATCTATCTGATCTTTGTCAAACTGTTCCAGCTGTCATAGATGAGCCTTGTAGCTCCCGGTGATTCATTCGGGTTCACTCACCTGGTTGCCACCCACTTGCTACAACAGCATAACAAAGCAGAATGAGTTAGAATCTTAATTCGTGTGTTTGATGCGTTTCCAGGGGCCGCTTATCGGCTATTAGACCGGTGATCTGACTCATTTTGTGTGCAGCCTTAAACACTTTTTCCTCAAACACTTTGCTCACACCTTGGCAGTCCAAAGCTAGCAGAGCTTGGCCTCGGGAGGACAACCCTGGTAACAGCTTTTTGTTTTCTCCTTTCTCTTCCTGTGTCTTATCTGACAGTCTCACCAGAGGCAGCACAATAAAGATAAGCCGTATAAATGTCCCAACTGCTACCGTGCCTACTCCGACTCTGCATCGCTGCAGATCCACTTGTCAGCACACGCCATCAAAAACGCCAAGGCCTACTGCTGTAGCATGTGCGGCCGGGCGTACACCTCAGTAAGTAAACCGCCGCTCGTCTCCCTTATCTCTTTCCCTGCTGTGCCATTACACACGCTGCCGAAAGTCTGCGGCTGGTAAGATGGTTTTTCTGTGTCCTTCGGAGTACACGTAGTCCATTTCCTGTTTGCGAGCGTCTAAACGTGAGGCCCGCTTTTGCTCTCGTCAAAAAAAGGAAGTGTTCTCTCAACTGTTCTTTTAAAAAATGTGGACTCCCAGGGTACAACTTGGGATTGTTTTGCCTTTTGCTGCTCTTTAAAAGATATCTATTCAGTCTTTTTCCCCCTCAAATGCATGAAAGTGACTACTTTGGCTTGTGAGTAAACTTGTGAAATGCGCGTGTTTTTCCAGGAGACCTACCTTATGAAGCACATGTCCAAACACACGGTGGTGGAGCACCTAGTGAGCCACCAGTCCCCCCAGAGGACCGAGTCCCCCACCCTGCCCATCCGCATCTCGCTCATCTGAGCTCCCTGGACGTTGAGCAGTGAGATCGAGGGGGTCTGCGGTGGGCCCGAGCTCCCCGGGCCCCCGCACCCACGGCCATCTACATAAGGCTTACATTAGCATTATGAGCGCTGACATAAGCATTCGGTGTTGGATTCAGTACGCGGACTGCCTCCATCTGACTCGACTCGGGCCGTCTAGTCAAAAATGAGCACAGTGTTATTTTGTGAATGTAACGATACAGCTTGGTGTTGTCTGGGCGGATCGAGCGGTGAAGAATGTCTTGCGTCAGATTGGATAAGCACTTTCGTAAGCGTCATGTAAACCGCTGGATGCATTGGCCATAGAAACTATTTTAGCTGATTTCTTTTTCCCTTATTATTATTATTTTATTCCATGTAATGGGTTTCCAAAATGTGCCAGACAATATTTACCCTATTAAAAAAAAAAAAGGAAAAAAAAGAAAATGCTGGGTGTATTCGGGAGACATCCAAAGAAAATCTAAAAGCACTTTTCGGCCTCGTGGTTTTGACGGAAATTCTTTCAATCTCATTGGATGGAAAATGCCAGAGGGCATTTCTTGTGGCAGCTAAGAGTACAGACTGAGTATAAATAGGAGTCTTCTGTTACTTTCTTCTTCTTTTTTTTCCTTCGCACAGGTTCTGGGCCAGCTGAAATTTGACGAAAGGCAATCGGATTGTTGACAATTGAAATATTTAATGATTGTACCAAGAAGCTAAACTATCGACTTGAGGGGAACAAAAGAGCAAAATAGAATCAGAGAAATATTTCACACTCCATATTTGACATTCAGTTTTGTGTCCCCGTTTCTGGAAAAAACCCCCCCCCCCCCCCCCCCCCCGACTTTCCAGGGGTTAGTGCCATATATATGCACCTCGTTGAGGCTCGAAGAGAAAGCAGATCTTTAATTGGTGCGTGTATGCGCTCTTAGGAATCTTAGGAAGAGTCAGAATATCTTGCACACGTCGGTGCTGGTCGTACTCTGCTCAGCCTTTTTTCTTTTTTTTTTTTTTTTCTAATAACACATTTGAGATAAAAAAAATAAAGATTTTCTTGTCAGTGGTTTTAAATCCACCCAGTGGACCAAAATGTGAAGTTATGTACAGCGACTTTAACCCAGTCAAGACATTTTGTTTTACCAGTTTTGTTTTTCTAAATCAGAAATAAGCTTTACCCATTTGAAATAAACTGCAGTATAAGTCATATTCAATAGGCCTATATTATGTGTGTATGCAGATGCTAATCTTCTCCCTCCTTTCTCTTTAGTATTATTTTTACTGTCCACAGTATTGTTTGTTGTATTTTTACTGTAACTGTAACCTCTGAATGGTACTAAAAGGGTTCCCTGTATTCTTCAGGGTACTTGAGAAAAAGGTGCTGCGGCTAGACATGACGTTTGAGATGGAACTGAGAATAATGTAAAATACATATACAGTCTATAGTATGTTTTCAAAAGAATAAAAAGTTATTACTCAAGCCACTGGCCTGAAGACAGACATCTACGCCAACAGACCCTGCCTCTTCAACTTACTCTCTCTTTTGAGATAATGGGAAAATGTACATGTTGCTGTACTGTAAAACATGTTACTCGTTTATAGTACCAATTTTTAAGTTTCCATAAACATGTTCCGTTTGGATTTGGTAAAGGTTTTATGAATTTACTGTAATTATTTTAGTCGACCTGTATGTTATTAATATTCATGTTTTATATCAGTTCTTTACATGTAAGCCTTAACTGTTTTATCATCCCAGATCCATCACTCTGTATTGTGTTCTGCAGTATTCAGTTGTGTAAACTTTTGATTTTGTTTCTTTCGCATGGAGTTTCTGAGCTGTAATCTGTATAACTGTTTAACCCATGTTCTATTGAAAAGATATTGCGTAGATTTATTACACTTTTTCCTGTCTTGCATTGTGGTTTCATATACAGTTTCTAGATGACTAAATATGCACAGCCAAGACCGAGAAGTTAAACTAAGGTTATCAATGTTTAAAAAAGGAAAAAAAAGCTTTGTATCTTTACCTTGTTTAATAAACAGACTGTTATAAATTTGTCATTGGGTTTTTTTTAAACTGTCAGCCAACTGACTGATTTTTTGTTGTTGGTGGGATTGAGTGAAAAAAACTACTTTTGTCGTCCTTTATTTATGAAAATAGGTTTATTCTCGTAAAAATACAACAGTTCAGCAACCAAGTCCCTTTCAAATAGGCTTTTGTTGTTGGACGCATTGATACAGCAGCAAGATAAACACTGAATCATCTGAGGCACATCAGATAAGAACATCCTCAAAGAGCCCACCAGAGGCAGGAATGCCTGTTTATTGCCTTGCTGACAAAAGGTGTGAAGCTCATTTGTGATTGCGGACGGTGGCGAACAAAATACTTGGACATTTTGCCATTTGAGCTGTTTCCCACAGTATATTCAAGTCTCAGTTATATAAAGAACAAAAACCGTCCTCACGTAAACATCAGAGGAAGTGCTCAGGACTTACAGCTTCCCTTCCTACAACCATTATCCATCAACTCAGATGTAGCTGGACCATAAAGCAATGTTTGTTTTTTAAACAAAAACCCTGTGGTAGAAGCCTTTGAGGTTGACCAATATAGAAACCAGCTGGAAAAATTCAAGAAAACGAACCCCAAAAAATATTCTATATAGAATAAGAACAACAATATTGATATACTGTGACCTGCGTTAAAACGAAGACCAGGATAAAATGTCAGTTTTTAGGCAAATCCACCTTATCAGCATACATATGCACATTTGTAAAAAGATGATGAGATTAATGATTTTTGACACAGAACAAACCATATAAATATCCACACCATAGGCATTGTAAGGCATCAACACACTGCTGAGATAAAAAAAAGAAATCTTAAAAAATCACTTATGTTATGGGTGATATATAATTACTGTCATGTAAACACAAACTAAACTTTTTATAAAGTGCTTGAATGGATAATCACTCAGATATTCCTCATTAAATGTCTTCACTTGTGGAAAAATACATCATGTCATTTTGTACCTTTTATATGTAAAACAGCCTCCATGTTCCCACGATTCCCACCAAACGTTCAGTCCCTCTGATCAGAGTTGTTGTGCAAATGCAAATGACAGACCGAGTCCTCTGGTGTGTCCACACAGTTGTGCTATTTGTAAACTTTTACATTGAAAATCTGATTAACCTTGTTTTTTGTATTTTTCACCATGTGTTAAAAACAAGCATTTATTTGACACTTGCACAGATTCCATTAAAAGCTCCATGTTCAAAGTTCACTATTTTAGGACCTGGGTCCAAATATAGCACTGGCCTGCCAAATAAGAGTTTTCAAATACCATCCTGACCAAAACATCAGTGGAAGCTCTCTTTTATTATTACTATCTTTTAACCAGGATTATCTGCGCCTGAAATTTTTCTCTCCTCACAATGGCTCAATAACACTGTGTAGCCTCTCATACGGGGTCACTGTTGTTAGAGCTCTGCTCTGTGCCTTTGGTGGAGGCTGGAGGAACCAGCGGGGAGGTGAGATTCAGGTATCCTTGCTCAGGTGGCTGATGTGTGGAGGCAGACGCCCTCGGGCCATCCAACACCGAGTGCTTGCTCACCTTTGCACGGCGGATTGCATCCAGGATGTCCACATGGTCACAGGAGCCAGATGTCAGACTGATGGTAGGAAAACAAAATCGGATGAGAGGCCTCCACTTTACATCCACTAATACAGCGATTAGTTTGGTCAAAACAGCATTACCTTAGAGCAGACGAGTACAGGAACCCATCAGCGAGACTATCAGAGGGCAGCGCTTTCTTAGCATTCTGCTGAGAATTGGAGCCGCTGATTATCGAACAGCAAAAGCTTTTCACATAATCTTAGAAACATATATTCAAACCTTTTCAAATAGGACACTTATCTTTAAAAAATTGTTAACATTTGGAACGGATTCATCTTAAAGGCATTTAAGGTTAAAAATCTTTACTGCATAAGCTGAGAGGAGTTTTGACAGTTCTACCTCCAGGCTGTGGAACGACTCGACGCTCCGCAGGGCCCGCTCCAAGGAACTGACTTGAGTGGAGAGCTTCATTGTTCGGTCCTGTAGTTGTCGGTTTTCCACTTCTAATACGTTGACCCTTTAAGATATTTACAATCAAGCTCAGAACTTTTCTACATTTCACGCATTCTTAATGTTCTCAGTAACATGTCCAGATTAATGGCCTTTTAGACTCGTGTGTGTGTGTGTGTGTGTGTGTGTGTGTGTGTGTGTGTGTTAGGCGACTACATGCTCTTGAGTCTTGAAGGTCAAGAGGCCAAGTGACTTTGGGTCTAATAAGTATATGTGGGACAAAACATCAACAGTCTCAATTTTCCCTGAGGCTGACAATTTTCAGAGAGATTCCCCGTCATGCTCCTGGCGGCCCCAATTATGGGATCCATCATTCTTTAAAAACCAGTAAAACTGTGATGGCATTCTCCTTCAGATATAATGGTGTGTGTTTATGTGTTAGCACACCTGTGTTGGACTGTCGAGGCCGTCCTCATGCCTTGGCTGCCCATGTCCTCTGCGTCGCTTATCTTCTGCAACAGCTCTCTCTTGTCCTCCAGCAGCTTCTCATTTTCCATCACCACTGTATGGATCCTTTCTTTTTCCTGAAAGCCAGCGAGACGCGAGCGAAATAAAGCATCAGGACTTCACAAAGTGCCTGAATGGAAGATGACGGGTAGAAAAACTATTGTGTGTCAGACCTTGTGTGACAGGCTGGACGCCAGTGCCAGGTCGTTCTCCAGCTGCTGGATGGTGGCGTCTCTCTGTGCAGTCGCCTTTAGGAAAACCTGCTTGGCTAGACGCAGCTTGGTCTTATGCTGACTCTGTTTTTCATTATACTTCCTGGTTGGTGGAATGAACAACAAAGAAAGTTTATTGGTTAATCAATTGAATTATATTTTGAGGTTTCTTTGCAGATTCAATTAATTAATGTTGATTTATATTTGGATGTTTCTCACCTGACATGGACATCAAGTTTGAGGAGAACCTGCTGCAGCTCCCCCTGCAGCCTTTCACACTCCTGCTGACTGACCGCCAGCTCCTCCTGCAATCTGCTGCTGGAGTTCTGTCTGTCTTTTGCCTGGAGAGCCCAGAAATAAAATAAACACATGCAGTGTATGACATCATATGTTAGAGTCAAAACATGTGCACAGTCATAATATTCTGTGTTCTTGGTTGTGGGACTTTACTGGGTTGCATAAAATGACTGGAATGACAAAATTCTGACCTAAGAACTAGTACAAGAAGATAAAGGCAAGAGCTCTAACAGGATATAATCTGTGCACACTTATCACACAGAAGCTTTGAAGTTATGATTCACACCTTCACCAATAAGGAAAATAATAATAAAAGGCAATTTAGATGTCCAAATTTAGATGTCCAAAAATCATGCTGTACTCTGATGAAGAGTGTCAAACCATTCCACACCTCCTCTCTCGACTTGCTGAGCTCATCATCCAGGACGGACAGGCGGGTGTCCAGCAGCTGGACGCGGTGGCTGAGCTCCATGTTCATCCTGCCCAGCGAGGCCTCCTTCAGCCTCAGAGAGCGCACCTGCTGCTGCAGGTCCTCTTCGCGTTGCTCTAACAGCTTCCTGAGAGAGTAATGAAAAGAAATAACAAAGAGGGATGAAGGCTTAAAACCACAACTGGTGACTAACTTAGAATTTCAACTAAAACCATGGCCTAAGATTAAAAAAAAAACAAAAAAAACCCAATAAAACTGAGCCCAGCGAGCGGCAGGGCTATTCCTTTAACCTGGTGATGTGCTCCTCCTGCTGCTGGGCTCTCAGGGCGGACAAGGTGTCAGACAGATCCCTGCTGTCCCTCTCTAGGCGGCTGCTCTCGCCGGCCCGAGCTTCCTCCACACGCAGCTGATGCTGGACATTCTTCAGTTGCTGCTGCAACTCCAAAACCTTCCATCACAACAGGGAAACAAACATGAATCACCAAGCTACTGACATGCAGGGGGAAGAAGAGCATTTAACATTGTCAAAACCTTTCTGAGCAAGCCATGGGACAAATGCTTGTGCTGCAAAAATTAATATACACATTGGGATTAATTTCGATAGCTCAAGTGCAAATTAGGTCACAGGCAGTTTATCCTATTAAGAGCTCAGAATGCAGGTTTCACTGGCTATTCCACGAATTAGCTGAGTGAAGTCAGCTGGAGTAAATTCAGAAGCTAAAATAGTGACGGGATATAACAAGTCACACAGATGGCTTTTTTGTTGTTGTTTTTGTTTGTTTTTGTGCCAGAGCCAGATTTGATCAAATGTTAATTCCTATAGGGACATCGGTTCTTTGCACCTGCTTCGTAGACTGAAGGCTAACTGCCCTATTTGTTTTTGTGCATTCATATGTTCACTGCTTTCAAACATCCTTCAGAGTATTAATTCCACCCGTTTTCCTGCTTTAGACAGGACAAGGCATTGACGAGCATGTCACTCCATGCACTGATACTGGAGGTTGCAGCAGATATACTTTAAGCCATGAAATCTTCCCTGCGGCCAGGGACAAAGCCATGGCAACTGTTGTCTTTGAACTTCTTGCACTATATGACATAAGGCTACCAATTTTAGCCATGTTCACAACTTTAATCTGTGACTGTAGGCTGTTCTGACCTTCTTGTCAGCGGCGATGAGCCGTGCTCTTTCAGCCTGAAGTTCCTCTTGCAGACTAGTGGTCGCGATGCGATTTGTGCAGCTGCGTGCCAGCTCCAGCTCTAGCTCCCTGATTCTCTGCTGCTGACGGTCACACTCGGCTACCTGAGAGTGGGCTTTCTGCTCCACCTGGGCCAGCTTGCTCTGGGCCTGCTTCACTTCCGCAGAGAGCTGGGGGAAGTAAGTAAAAGACAAGAATATATACACAAAGTATACAACTTCCTAGTTTATGTCACACTTCCACATTTGCCCATAGTGATTAGCATTCAAAGGGATTATTTGATGGAAATAATAGTCACACGATTTTTAAATATACTATGACTGAATGCCAACCTTGAGTTTTTCCTGGTCTAGAAGAGTGTTGTGTCTCTTCAGGTCTATGTTCTTCTCCTTTTCATAACGCAGCTCTCTCTCAGCAGATGTAAATAGGCTCTGGGCCCTCTGCAGATCTTGCTTCATTTGTTTAGCCTCTTCTGCTTTCTGGCTCAGCGCTGAATCTTGAGACTGAAGATTGTGTCGGGAACAGTGTCGGGATGATATGGAATAATTACAGATACAGATGTCCAAAGCTAAAGTATATGTGCACCTTTAAAACTGTCCGATTTAACGAAGAAAATAGTTTTGTTGTGAGACCGATGTAGCCCTGGAACAACATCTGTTTTTTACCTTAAAGTTTAGGATGATTACTGTAAATAAATGATATTAACTACATACTTCAAAATAGAATCCCAAAAAATCACTTATTCCAGTCAGAACAGAAGTAGCTCTTTAAATCTATATATCAAGCTATTTGAAATGTGTTATGACCATATATACCTTGATAAGTGCCTGTGCTTCATTGACCTGAGCTTCAAGTATGAGTTGATGTTGAAAGGCCAGCTGCTGCTCCTCTTCCAGCTTGCTCTGCAGGTGATTCAGCTCCTGCTTCAGACTTGAAAGCTATGAACAAAGGACAGATATAGATGAATCACATGCGGTGCTTGAGATGGAAATTCCCACTCTCCGTGACTTAATTTGCAAACAGATATGAGATCACTCTTTTGACCTGCTTTTCCTCGTCCAAATTCATAAGCGCCATAACAACTCACATATGACAGTCACAAAAAAACAATTCAAGTGCTAATGTGTTCTCAGATGTAGCCACATTGGTTCCGGTGGCATTACCTGATCTAAGCCCTCATCCTTCGACGTCTCTGTTGGACTGAGCCTTGGTTCTGTGTTAGCTGTCTGAGGTTCGGGCTTCTGGCTGCATATAATCGCATGTTTTGTGGATCGCTGCTCTTGGTGCCATAGCAGCTGCTTTTTAAGGTGCTGTATCTCCAGCTCCAGTCTCACTTTTTGCCCCTCGGACGATAGTTTCTCCTGAACAGTGAAGCTTAGCTTGGCCTGGAGCTCAGCGGTCTGCTGCTGGGCGGAGAACAGCTCGTCCCTGGAAAATATGCACATGTAGCCGTACCAAGTAAGCTCAAACATCATGGTTTTAGCTGATCGACAGAACCAAAAGACAGACGGCACCAGATCCTACAGTGCCATCAGTACTCTACAGTCTCAATAACTCTACATGAGCTAAAGCTACCTCTGTTTGCACTTTAAAACTTTTTTAGTGGATGACAACCTTAGGGTGTTGTGCGCTGTATTGAGGCTGCTGAGTTCAGCAGTGAGACGGTCAGCCCGTTCCTGCAGCTGGTCAACCTCAGACCTGTTTATCCTCGAGTCCTCATGGGGCTGGCTACTGTTCTTGTAGCATTCCAGCTCACTCTGGAGTCGGCTGTTGGCACGCTCCATTTTGGCCACCTGAGAGGCGGAGAGTTAAACACAGAAAACTGGTGATATTGAACTATATGTAAAAAACAATGCAAGCTGTACATTCATGCTGACAAAGTATGGACATAATCAGTTTGATTTGTTTACAAATAATACATCATATTTACATTTCTATGGAAAAAATAACACCTGTGCAAATAGTCAGAAACAGCAAGCAGAGAAGTGGACAGACCTTTTCCTCCAGAATTGCTTTCTCCCCTTTGACTTGAGTAAGGCTCTTGATCAGTGTTTTCCCCTGTTGGCATTCGGTCTGAAGGCCGCTGACCTCAAGCCTCAGTTTCTTTAGCTCACGCTCTCCTATCTGCAAAGCCTTTCATGTGGGCAATGGGAGATGAATTCCCAAATCATAAGTGGTTGTAGCAGGCAAATTTATTACCCTTATTACCGTAAGTTATTACAATTGATTAATTTTATATCCTGCACCAAAGAAGAAATTCTATACTTACGTGGCTTAATTTACAGTTCACAGTGATACATTATAAAAAAACACCCTAATGCGTTCTTTTAATTAAAACATACTCTCACACACTTGTGCAGCTTTGGCTGCTGTGTTTTTTATGTCTTTTTTTAATACCTCCTTGTCTTTCTTAAGAGCAGCCTGAGCAGCACTGAGGTCTAATTCCAGCTGTTTCCTCCAGTCTTTCTCCTCAGTTAGACGAGCTTCGAGCAGGGCCAGCCTCTCCTGGGTGCTGTCCTTTAAGTGCTTCATACACAGGGAATGCAAAAAAAACAACAAAAAAACAGGCTTTAAGCACAAATTTCTCAATGTCTTATTTTGAGGAAAGTATGTATGGCAGCGAATCAAATGGATTTGTTTCCGTTTGTGGTGTTCCCCAACCAAAGTGGTCTTGCAGTGTCACCATCATTTCTTACCAACTGTAAGTAGGACTCAGAGGTTTTGACCTCATCCCCATTCATCAACACTTTTTCTTGGGCAGCCTGCTTCTTCAGCTCAGCCTCGAGGCTTTTGATCTGCATGAGCAAATACAGAGATGACTGTTAACGTTCTTCTGGTTCTGAGCTGACTGTCATTAAAGTCAGCGAATCAAGTCATTTTAAACAAATAAGCTATGCTGGGAAGATACTTTGCTTATCTCCATTACCCTCCTGTGCAGTCCCTCCAGTTCTCCCTCATGCCGATGTCTCTCCTCCTTACTGGCATTCTGGGCCTCACCCAGCAGGGCTTCCAGCTCCTCGTTCCTCTCCTCCAGCTCCTCCTGCTCCTTGCGTAGCCTTTGGAGTTTCCGCTGCAGCTCTTTCACCTGCACAAGTCCATCTTCCACTGCTTCTTGACATCTGACAGAGAGCAAGGCCAATCAACGTAAGAGGGAGAAGGGCAGCAGTGCTCCCCCTGATGAAAAAAGCTCAAAATCAACGTAAATGCACCCAAACCCTGCCCGACACATTGCTATGTTATGGATTTACCGTTTGTGAATCTGATCTTTATCTTGAGCTGACAAGACGGACTGACTGTTGTGTGGTTCACTGCTCTCGTCCTTTGGATTTTCTTTGGCCACCTCACTCTTTGTTTCCTGAAAAATTCAAACATCGAAAAACTGCTGAGCTGCTGTCAGAGCTTCTGGAACTTTCTACGTTGAGGAAGGAATTTAGGAAATGTCAACCTTTTCCAGAAGCTCTTTCTTTTCAGATTCGATAAGGCGGACCCTCTCCCTAAGAGCTCTGTTCTCAGCATCCAGTCTGTCATTTTGCTCTTTGGCACGCTGAAGATTCATCAGGTCTAAGGACAGACATTGGACAGTACAATTTCTTAGATTCTCCCCTTTTTATTTGCTTTTCTTAATGCCGCACTGCACTTTGTTGAAAAACTCTTTTGGTCCCTAGAAATAATTTCCCTCTTAGTTGTGGTACGGAAAGGGGAATTAGTACAGAACTCCTTCAAACAAAGAGATTGTACAAAGCCTTATGCACGACTATGCACTATTATTGAAAAATTATTGTCCAGCCTCGGACCAGGTCTCAAATGTAACTAAATATGTACCCCATTCTTTGGAAGTAATACCTTAATTAAAGAATACCCTATAAGAGATAAATCAAGTTCTGGGCAGTTTCCAATATGACTTTTGTTGTCAACCCATGTCAGTTTGTAAATGAATTAATCAGTTGATCTAAAAATCAAACAGTTAAATGAATTGTATTTTGTTGTCGTCTTGTTCAGTAAGTGATGAAATATAAGAGACAAAGCATGTCCTATGTCTGGGCCTGGTCCAAAAGCCTGCCCAACTGATTTTCTAATGCTTAAAACACAGATCTCTGACATTCACACCACTCTATCTCACCACAGTGCTTCAGTTTGTCCACTTCCTTCCTCAGGTTCTCTACCTCTTGGACAGTTCCCTGAAGCTCAGATCCTGAGATCATAAAAATATATTTTATACTACAAATGATAAACATCAGGCTTTTCTAACATGAGTCTTTTTCGAGGGCTACTTGATATTTCCCACAAATAGCACAACAATTCCATTTATAAAAAAGTCTCAGGTTCAGAGGAGAAATTAAAAGGAAGCATTTTTAAAAATATGTGCATAGAAATAAGATATGGAAGCGACAGATTGTGAAGTCATGTAACACACAGTCAATGTAGTTGCTTTAAACTACTATTGTAATACATAACTAGCAAGTCTCAGTTAATGCTGACCAAAAATTAATTGATGACTGTGTGCTGTGGGACTTTGAACGTACCATTTTGATCTTGGTGGCTGCTTTTGGCTGCATCCAGCTCATTACTGAGCCTACGGATGTCCTGATGAGCCATCGAAAGCCTGATTGATGCCTCCTCCAGGTCCCTCTCCAGCCGCTGCCTTTCATTTCGCTCTCTGGAAATCTCCTCGTTGTGGGCCTGATGCAAACAGAACGAGGAACATTAGTCTGGTAGAAGAACAATAGGGAGGAAGACACTTAGACTGGGGATGCAAGTGACCGAGCATGCAGTTGTAAGCAGACATGCATTTTCAGGCTGGGGCTCATCATAACTGCTGGCCTAGGGGAGAAAAATGTATAAAAAAATCATCGGACAGTGACAACTGTCCTGCCACCATCCATCTGACCATCTACAATCAACAAAATATTTAATTTGTCTTCATTTGACAGCCAGGGTAGAAACACAGAGGAATGATAGAGTGAGGTGGGTGAATCTCATGCAACAATGATCGACCCAGTCAGGCGTCAATCTGTGGACACGGCGGTGATGTCATACAGGTTGCAACCATTAGCTTACAAGGACACCCTGCAGATGTGACACTGAGACAATGTTGTGTACATCCTGGTAATCAGGTAGCATATGTCAGAAACAAGCCAGTGTTGCCCCCTTTTATCTCTGTATCACAACACCAGTGTTAGTCACTTAGTTAGTATTAGCTGTAAAGTGGAAACCTACAGGAGTAATATTGTGTTTGCTCTGACCAGACCTGCGTAAGCCAAACAGCTTCTTCCAGGGACTCTGTGATGTACACTGCTGAGAGGACAAACCAGTGCGCGCAGAATAACTACAGATATGTTTTTAAAGATTAAGCCATTTTCCTGTACATTAATTGAAAAAGCATAGTTTTTATTCATCAAACTCTATTAAACTAACATAGACCTGTATTACAATCGGCATAAAATAAATGTCACCTCACCTTATCTACAGTCTTCTGAATGTCGTCCCTCTGCTGCTTGAGGTTCTGTCCCATTATGTGGTGTATATGCTCCTGTTCAAGAGCCATAAACCCATAAAGATTCACTAACCACAATTTATGGTCTCTGATAGTTGAGCATAACAGCTACTATGAGGCCTTTGAAGGAGTTCATTTGAAGATCCAACAAGACTGAGGACTGTATAGTCATTGTTCGTGATACTAAATGACCGGACCAGTTGTGCACAGTTAAAATTGTTCTAGAGACATGAAATTCAAATTGAACACTACAATCACCAGATTATTAAATAATTGAACATAACTGAAATGCTTTCGGAACCACTGATGATGAATTAAAACCAAAGTTTTCAAACATTGAGGTGAAAAAGTGATATTATTCCATGTACTGCGGCAAGGTATAAGCTTCAGTTTTTTAACACCCCTCCAGAGAAAACTATGCTTCTCAATCTCACTTCTGAAATAATTCATTCAACAAACAGTTTCAATAACTTAATCCAACTTCTGTAGACTTGTGTGGTTAGTTCTTTTTGAAGAGCTAGCACTGAGTAAAAATATGAGGGGATTTGAATCAGTACGTTACCTGGTGATCGATTTCGAGCAGGTTGCCAGCAACAAATTGACTTTCTAATTTCCTCTCGGCAGCCTCCAGCCTTTCCAGCAGCGTGGCTCTTTCCACCAGCAAGTACGCCACCTGCTCACTGGGAGTGCTCAAACCCATGTCCCCAAGCTCTTCCTGGGCCAGCATCTCAGCCAGCTCCTTGCTTTGAGTCTCTGGAGGAAAGTGGGATTTTCTTTAGTTAGTAATTTGTCTTGCAAAAACACAAAAATAAATTTAAAACAAAGTGTTTCTTTGATGAGGCACCATGCGGTAACTTGAAGGCAAAAATGCAAACACTGCTGTTCTTAGGTTGGCTCCTTTCACCTTGCTGGTGTTTGATCTGATGAAGCTCACGTCGCAAGTCTTCATTGTCCCTCTCGTACTCTGCAGTCAGACATTCACGCTCCTCCAGCAGCCCTCGAATATGCGCAACGTAGCTCTCCACCTGTCAGACACACAATCAACAACAAATAACTTCAAATGATTCAGCTGTGACTAAATTTATTCAAGAAGACTGACGCTCCTCGTTACAAATGCCATGGTAAGCACATGTATCTCTTGATGTGCTTCAGTTCTGTCACGCTGGATGTTAGAATTAGAAATGATCGAGCCAAACAGCTGAAGACAAGTCTGCAGCAACTGGAGAACTTTAAATACCAGAGAAACGTCTCACTTCTTTCATCTCCTTGGCCTGCTGCGTACGCAGGGCCTGCAGCTCCTGAGTGGCTGACTTAAGCTTCTTCTCACTGCTGAGCAGCAGCCGCCACAGGTGGCACTGCCTTTCTTCCGCGTTGGCCTCCGAAGACAAGCCATCCTCCTGAAGCCGCATGGAAATCAGGTCCAGCTCCGTCCAAACCTATGGGATTCAGGGAAGGAGTTAAATGTTTAGTTTGCAATACATTCAAATGCCTTTTCTGCATGTAGTTTATACTTATGTAGGCTGGTTTCTAACACATCTATAGCACAATAACAGGCATATACATTTGATATGAAGTTAGCATGGCTGGCTATTAACAGTATGATTAATATCAGGGAAAATGGTTCCATTTGCATGATATCAACATCATGGTGGCAAGCCATCACTGAACACCTGTTGCAGAATTCAGCATTGTATTTTGCAGGGCCTGTAACCCGAGCAGGTCTCATGGAGCCTTCTGTCTGTTCTAGGAGCTGCCAGTGCTGCAACTACATGAGCATATTGTCACAGCTGAAGTATCAGGTGTCCTGTGACTTTTGTACTTACACATGAGGCCAACTGTCTACGTTCTTGTCAAACAAACAAGTAAATTATCACACATTTCATTTGAGTTACAAGGTTTTTTAATTTTTTCTAAGGTGTATGATCTTGTTTGCCCCAAGAGCTATGAAAAATGTAAATTTGTCGAATTTGTATTTATTACAGTACTAAAATAAAATGGATAGGAAATTGGTGGAAAATGTGTCATTAACCATATAGAGAGAAAAGTTAAACATTACATGAATGACCGAATATGTTATCACTGAGCAGTGAAGTTACCTCTTCGAGATCCATGGTCACACATTAAGTTTGCTGGACTTGCATTTGCGGTTGACAAAATATTTCCTTAGTCGAGAAAAAAATGGTTCCAAACAGCAATTCTAAGAACATGGTATCCCAAACAAAACACAGGTTGTTGCAGGGATGCCCCACAAATCTTCAAGCTTCATCATTCCTATGATTTCTGTAATGCGTCCACGTCAAGGTCTGGTTTCAATTTCTCTGAAAAAGATTAAAAACTTTAGTGCATTTCCAACCAGTCGTGGTAACACTTTCAGCCACAAACTTATGGGTTACTTACCTCAACAGAGCCAGACAACTGCACTTTAACAGCTGACTCACCAGAGCCTATGCAAAACTTAAAGCTGATGAGCTACGTTTGATCTGCTGCTCGTTTTACTATAAATAGTAACAGTTACAGCTCCGGCTTAATCTTTTACTTCTTAATTTGGGAGCGTTGCGTTCAGCAGGATGATATGAATTTACTTTTGCAAAGTAGGCAAAAACGACTAGTTTCCCTCCCATTCATGCCAGATTTCCCTTCATTAATTATCTCTGGGTTGCAGCAAACCTTTCTCTCCAAAATGTCTGACAAGGAGGAGAAATAAATGTTTACAGCAGGACAGCATCTTCCCTTCACCCGAGCCTCTGACCAGAAATATGTCCTACCCAATGATACACGGACTTGTTTGTGATGCGAAGTTTTCTATGATGAAAAGTCTAAAATAGTGTGAGATGCAGAGCTTACAAGTTAGAAAAGTTACTTCTAAAGTCTGTACACAGAGCTAACGCTAGCTCGCTAACTGTAGCTTCTCCCAGTGGCCGCTGGAAGCGACTGTTGGGCTCAGCAAGGATTGGCTGCGACAACTGAAGATTACTGCTCAATCTTACCGTTACTTCTTCCGAGGCAACGTAGCTGGGCATGCACGCAACAGCTGAAATTGTGCTCACATTTCAAAGGACGCAGCGAGAAAGCCAAGTGCTAAGTACAGGCGTGGCAAAGCAAAGTGGCTTCTACCGGTACCTAGGCAACGGACCGTACCATGTGACTGCTGTACGGGACCCAGGACCTAAGAAAGTTGCATTTACCCAAACATACAACATTTAAAATAACAAAAACAAACAAATAAGAGATAAACAATAGATAAATGATTGAATAAGGTGCATTCTTCTTACTGGTATTTTTTTTTTGTCGTGACTTTCTCCTTTTGCACACGGATCAGCAGGAGGCGACAAACTGACACAGAGGGAGAAGAAACAGCCAAGTTCATTCACTTTGCAATTACATAAAATGTATCAATCTTTTCCGTATTATGATGATTAGTATAAAAGTTATATAGTATAAGAAAGAGAGGAAGAACGATTTTATCCATAAATGTGTAGAAAGCATTATCTAGAGCCCATTATTTTCATAAGCATGTTGGCATAGAAAATTTACAGCAGGTAACAAGGCCCTGAAACTTAGTTTTAAGTTTGTATACCTCCTAAAGGTGCAAAGCTACTCTCTCATAAGATCAATCAAGTTGTATTCCAAGAGAAACTAAATGACAATAACGACACTAACGACACTAACCACAAAAGAGTACCCCTTACTAAAGTCAGATTAGCACTACCATTATCTAAACTATGGGAAAAAAATTAAACTTGCTAGTTGTTGGCTTAAGTTAAGGCGTTTACAGGCATGTTCCTGGTGTTTCTTATTCTTTTAGTGCTTTATAATTTCTGTTTGTGTTGGGAAGTTGAGAATAACCCCGTCCCAGGTTTTCTGTGTGACCAGAATGCTATTAAAACCCATTATGTTCAAGTGTAAAAATGTGAGCTATGTTGCAGCTGTGTGTTTATTTTTCACGTCTGCCTCTGGCATGAATGGATGAGGTATGGTTGCATACTCATTATACCTTAGAGTTCTTCCAGTTCACTGTTTACAGAAGAAATCTTTTCATGTGGTTTTGTGTGCCTCCAGTGTGTATGGGTGGGTCCCGTTTTGAGACTTTTTGTGGATGACGATAAACTGTAGAGCAAAAGGGAGCTCTGTTCTACACAGAGGAAATGGGCGTTCTTCTCGGAAACTTTGGAGTGAGTGACCAAAAAAATAAAAATGAAGGGGTGTGTAGCAAAGCTAGAAAAGCGTGTGGACCACCAAAAAGCTGTAGAGAAAAGAAGCTGCTCCCAAGCTGCTGAGATCAGATTGAAGCAAACAAGCAACATCCAGGGTAAGTAGATATTTATTTGACTTTTTACTCAATTTCAGTAAATATGCTGGTAACTGATGATTCCACTTGATTCATTTCAAATCATTTGTCTTTTGATCTCTCTTAAAAACCTAAATAATATCTGCGTGCCCTCAAAATTATTTTTTTGTACATTTTCGAAAAATGTGGATAGCAGTTGCCCTTGCAAAGAGATTTATGTATGACAAAACAGTCATTTGTCACTCAAAAAGTACCTTTCAGTCTTGTACGATGGGTGAGATTTAATGCAATAACATAATTTGACAGTAATTCTGACTCCGCCGCCCACTCAAATGAGCTGCTGCCCCAGATAAGGATCTTTACAGACAATTTCATCCTGTTTCTATTCCCCTGTTTGCCTTCCTCTTCTTATTGTGTCTCACTCAATGTCTTTCTTTCATCTCAAATTTAAACTATCATTACTCCTGTTTTGCTATCCTCAGCAACATTGTAGGCTACAACAAATTATTCTGGTCACATTGATTTCCTTTATGAATGTAGGTATAAAAACCTAAATGCAATGTTAGCTGAAGTACAGACTTTTAACCTACTGTGGTGAAAAACAACAAATGCTCAGAAGGGTAGGGACGTTAATTGGCTAAATGTTTTGGCTCTCTTTCAATGGGTCCACCCAAGGTCTTAGCTGGGTTTGCTGAGTGCATCAAAGCAACACACACAGGACCGTCAGAGTTTCAGAGGTAACTCGCTGAACTCTATGCTGAAACGTGTTCTTATGTAACACAGAACCTGCTCTGTTCAGCTCGTAAGTTTTTCCATTTAATGTTACAAGAGAAAACAGAAAAAAAAAAAATCCCAACAGAGGTTTCCACTGTGTTACAGGCCAGCACGTCAGCTTGGTCACACACTGTTTCCTTGCCAGAGGTGACGTTGGTTGTAATTTCTGAGAAGGCTAAATGAAAACCTTTTTGTTTGCGTTTTGGCAGGGGACTGGAAATGGCTTACCTGCTTATGTTTGTCACCCTGCTGCATCTCATCACACTGGCTATTCTCTTCATTGCAACCATGGAAAAGGTAATACTTAAGATTAGAACTTGAGGCACGTTGTCACACTATTTTTTTAATACGTGTAAACTGTCCATCTGTGTGTTTCATGTGTAATCCCTATTCAAAGTCCTGGTGGGAGTGGGATGGCATGGAAAGCTCAGACCTATGGTACAACTGTCGGTTTGACAACACCACAGGAACCAGGCTTTGTGCATCCACTAATGAAACTGGTGAGCACTGGGTTATCTTTGCAGGCCTTTCTAGAAATTTATATGAATGACATATTACATTAAAGTGCCATACATTGACATGAATGGCACTTTCTTGACTAAAATCCGAGAAATATGACTGGATTTTAAAAGTGAAAATGGTTCCTTTTCACAGAGTGGCTGCAGGCAGTGCAGGTCCTTATGGTCCTCTCAGTGGTCTTCTCGTCTGTCTCTTTTTTGGTGTTTCTGGGCCAACTCTTCACCATGTCTAAGGGTGGGCTCTTCTACTTCACTGGACTGTGTCAAGTATTTGCAGGTGAATTAAAAACTGCTTGTGAAAGTTGTCAATTTCATTTGAGAAAGACTACTGAGCAGGAAAGAAAATATGGTGAATTTTAAGAGATGTGAATCTCCTTATTTTTTTTTTTTTTAGGTCTGACAGTCTTTTCTGCAGCTCTCATCTATACACTTCACAATCAGGAAATACTTCCGGACTCCAAAAAAATGACTTCAGGACACTTTGGCTACTGTTTTTTCCTGGCCTGGGTGTGTGTCCCCATGTTGCTGTCTAGTGGGGTCATATACATCCACCTGCGCAAGAAAGAATGACCGGACAAAGACAGTGTTAACAAAAGTATTGGAAACAAAACAATTAAACTGACTTCGCCAAATTTGAAATGTGAATTTTAATTAAGCTGATGCTCAGGTGGTGAGGAGATCTTTGACTTTTATTTATACAAAGGTGTTCAGGACGACTTTTTTTTGTACGTAATAAAGCTTTATGTATTAATCACAGAATTCTACATAACCGTGGCACTCACCTTTTCATTATTTGACAGTTAATAAGTTGTTGTGTGTTACTGAAGAAGGCAAATACTTAAGCAGTATTTATCTGTTCATTCAAACAGTTGTTGTCATGGGCCTTTTAAATGTTTTAAACACAACATATAAATATGCATACATTGTACCCAGGTCGATGTGTGAAAAACATTTAGTATATGGTACTAATAAACATATCAAACACAGAACGCTTGATATCCAAGTTGTATCAAATGACACGTTGTAATTTGGGGCTAAACAAACTCTGTGATCAATTAGATTTGTTTACCTTAATTGGGTATTTCGGACAGTAAAAATAGTTTTCATCACGTAATTTTTCTAATGTATAGACCTGCTTCAAAGTGTGCACCATTTGTGAGAAATGTATGTGTAGCTAAAGCAAAAAGAAGCTATAGAAATACTAGCAGGTGGAGAACTACACTCCGTTTTCTTGTATTGTCTATTATAAACTTTAATAAAGGAAATTGATGTATTAACAAGTGGTTTCCTGAGTACAAACAGGATTCACTTGATCATATCATAACACAACTTAAATGTCCAAATTAGATCTCTTTTACAGATCATACATAGGTCAGAATTTCCAATGGCAGAATTAAATTGAAGGGTTGTGTGTCCACATCACAGTCTGTTGACAAATATTAACTTAAATTCAAATTCAATATATATGAGATGTTTTCTCATTAATGGGTTTGTCATATTGTACCTGCTTTTCAGAAAGAGCTTTGAACGGTAACAGAATATGAACTACCCTGAATAAAAACATGATATGAACGATTAATTGTGTTTCTACGTTTGTGTATTTGCAGTATAGATGAATTTTCTGTTTAATTTGACTCATGGTGAACGCCACTCACTCGGTGTTACGTCATCCTTTAAAAAACAACAAAACAGTCGTGGTTGTGTCCATAGCAACTGCAAACTTCCCCGACTTACGACAGCTTCGTTTGCTTATTTTATGTTGTCGAGTGCTAACAGGCTGTCTTGTGATAATGGAAGCAGCGTTCAAAGTGCTCCCTCTTGCCTTCCCCAAAGGCAAGGAGCAGTTTTGTGAAATTTGTCAAAGAGAGGCGAACCTGCAGTGCACCAAGTGTCGGGTAACTTTTTACTGGTAAGTTCGTCTAAAAAAACAAAAAACAAAGCCAGCGTTATTCGTGTGAGTCGTTTACTTTTGGACGCTAGAGGGCGCCGTTAGCCACACTGTGGCCTTCACGGTCCACGTCAGTGAAGGGCGTTCATGCGAACGTGTCCTCGGGAGGGAGAGGAACAGCTGGGGAATCCATCACCGCTGTGGTCGTTTCTGCTCACGAGACTGTTGTCTGCGTCTGATAGCCACGTTTCCCCTCGCGCCATTAGCGCGAGCTCCACATTTCTCTGGTGTCTGGACTGCACTGCGGAGTGCAAGATGGTGCCAAGTGAAATTCTCAGATGCAGTCATGAGCGGCATGTGGTGCAATAAAGGATTTCAATGATTAAACCTGGCTCTTTGCCAAAGCACCACCGTGTTTTTGGAAGGGGCTACTTGGGGGCAATAGAAGTATCTTAGATAGCAAAGAAGATAGTCAGGACAAATTAGTGAGCATTTGTTTCTCTGTGTGTGTGTGTGTGTGTGTGTGTGTGTGTGTGTGTGTGTGTGTGTGTGTGTGTGTGTGTGTGTGTCTGTGTGTGTGTGTCTGTGTGTGTGTTGGGGTGTGTGCTTTACACATGCATGCGTAAGTGATGTCAGTGTTACTGCTGATGTGGCGTGGACAGATTTCTGCCCGCTCACTGCTTCTGTCTTCGGTCTGGATGGGAGGAGAAGGGGGGCACATGCTCCCCGGCAGGAGGCATCCACCCAAATCCAAGACAGTGTCCGCAGAAGTGTGCAAGAGAAGAAGAAAATTAAAGCCCAGTTATGTAATGGCATACAATTAAATATGCCCTGGCTGCACTCAGACCGTGCCTTTATAAATAGTCTTTGGTATTGGCATTCAAATCAGCTAACGCTGTGCTGCTAGTTCGGCATTGTTGAGCAGTCACTCCTCTGAAGCTCAGCTGATGGGATCATAGATCACTCCTCATCAAACAGCTGAGAAAGTCATTATTCACAGCAACTCCTCCGGATCTAAGCGGGTCATATGAGAGACTGAGTAGATCTGAAAATATGTTTTCACTTTCTCAGTGATTCAGAGCACCAGCAGGCCGACTGGGTGGGGATCCACGAGAGGATTTGTCAGATGCTTGTTCCCATTCGCACCCCGTCGCTTAAGCAGTCCAGGCGCAAGGAAAAACAGCTGATGAAGGTGAAGGTGCATTTAGACAACATATGGAAACCTTTGAAAAGACACACACACACAAAAAAGGAAAGAAAAACCCCAGAGGGTTTGTTCTTACCACTTATGACTCATGTTTTCATTTCCAATTATCAGGTTTGAGCTTAGCTAATTTCAAATGCAAGCTGCCAAAACCAGAACTGGAGTAGCCGGTAACATGGAAGAGGGAGCAAAGTAAATGGATGCTCGACAAAAAAGTCAATTTATTTTTATGTATTGTGTTGCCCGTCCTGGCATGAACGAAATGCTTTTCTTGGCATTTCGAGTGCCTTAAGGTGGTGTGGAGTGATCGAACTTTGGGTTTGTCCCCTAGGCAGAACTGATTGAGATCTGCAGGAATACAGCACAGAGCAAGCTTTCTCAGGGCAAACATTTCGAGGCTCTACCCGCCGCCCAGTTCTGCCTGCGCTGCTGTATTGACGTCCACGGCCCCAACACAATCCAGCTGGTGCCTGCCTACCTGCTGCTGGCCGAGACCAACATGGGTGAGACCTGAGCCCATAAGGGCTTCCCTCAGCTCCAAACGGACTTTTATTCATACGGTGTATCATGAATTAATTAGTGTGCCATCTTTGCATTTGCCTGGGTTTTACGCAGGTCTGGGTAACCTGGCGCTCGTTGCAGACCTGCTCTCCCAGGCCGAGTGGGCGATTTTGAAGAGTCCAGAATGCGACCGCTCACTCCGCCAGCGCTTACACAGGAGCCTAGGCCGCCTCCACACAGCAACTGGAAACCTGGAAGCTGCTCTGTTCCACTTTGCTAATGATGTGTGTGAATAACCTAAGCCCATCGTTTTCCTAAATGTCCCAAAACTGAAAGGGACGTCATCCGGAGCAAGAGCCTGAAAGAAGTCGTCTGTTGTGTAATGAAATACTTTTTTCTGTGATATTTGCAGATATATTATGCAAGCGAGGAGTTTGGTGTGGACAGTACAGTCGTATGTTATGGCTACTTTCTGATGGCCGACGCATTCATCAAACAGGGGAAGATGGCCATTGTTCATTCCTTATACACTGAGGTATGTCTAATGTGGTAAAGAGCATTTTTAATCAGGTTAAAGGTTTGTAGACTTCCAAAGGCCTAAAAAAACTATGAACAAAGAATGAATATTGACTAAAATATCTATATTTAAGTCTAGTTTTACTTTCTTTCTCCTTTAGGTGGCCTTTACTTGGCACCGCCATCTCACCAAACTCCTTGAGACTCACTTACAGAGTATCAGAAATCCTGCCATGTTGGACTCCTCTTTCGGTGGGTACCATCACGCCTAACATTTGCTACCTGAGAAAGAAAACGATGTGACAAATCCACCAAGCATCATGCCCTGAACTTCAGCCGATAGTTTGATCAATGTCCAAGTGAATAAAACTAGGAACTGAAAACGGAAAATGAGGTCAACTGAGCTATATTTAGCTGACCTGCCTGGCTGTGCAATCCTAAAGCTAAACCCCAGATTTACGGTAGCATGCTTAGGGCTGACTAGAGACCACTGCTGACACAACTCTGGCTGCGCAGCATCCGTGCGCTTAGCATCCACAGCTGCCGCCCCACTTATAATGCTGAGCACGATAGCTTCAGTGCTAACTGCTAATCGTTATGGAACGTGTCCAGTTCAAAAGTTTACCAAACAGAACAAATGTCCGAAACACACTCATTTTTTTTTTTTAGCTCTAATGGTTTGGGAAATAAGTACAAATGTTACTTTTTTTCCTTTTTTCTCTTCTGTAGTGTAGCCAGCACTGTGTAATAATGTTAAATGAAGTCTTTCTTTTTTTTTTCTTAAACTGAGGTAGACTATTCCCAACCAAGTGAAGTGGATGAGATGTTCAGGGTCATATTGGAGTTTGAGCAGAAGTCTTCCAGAAGAGGCTCTTCTCTGATTGCGCATGTGGCCCACTGTCTTTCCATGCTGTGGTTCGTGAGAGGTGATCCCCTTAAGGTAAGTCCCCTGAAAGAGTCAGCCACTACACTGTGACACACTTCCCCATTTTCTTCTGGTGCTGTCTCAGGGTTGGATTATCTCGTTAGCGAAGCCGTAAACATAAGGTGGGACTTATGACTGTGTCCAGACACTCTGACCTCCATCTCGTTGTCCCGTTTCCTACCACACAAAGCTACAGATCTTTAGATGTGGAATGAAGGAGAAGATTTTTTTAGTATACCATGTGAAATCCTTTCTTCTGATATTACTTTTTAAATGACAAATATGGAGCCACATTTCATAGATAATTTTATGAAGTGTTGAGCACTTCATCATTATAATTATCCAGTGTTGACACACCATCTAGTAAAAAAATAAATACTAAGAAGCAACATGATCTCAGAGATGCTTCAAGTCCCTCTACGTTGGATTAAGGCCAGGCCTTAAACTTGGCCATTGCATTAAGTTATTACTGATTCAAATTCTCAAAGTGGCTTTTAAACTGTTAATTCAGTCATTCGGTGAGTGGAAGCCAGCCCTCCTACGGGGAAAACAGTAAATAAGTCAGCTGTGTTCTCCCCTGAGGTGACAGCTGTTGGGCCTGTTTCTGTTTGTGTGCTAGGTTTTCGGATTTGGCACCACGGCCCTGAAAGCCAGCCAGCTGACACCAGAGCATGACCTGGCGGAGCCCATCCAAGGCCTGCTGCAGCTGGTGCAGGATCCACAGGCACATCCTCGATCTGGTCCCAGCTAGTCAGCGCACTCCCTCTGACTCCCCCTCTGCTTGAAGATCTTGGGTTTAGTCCAACTCCACTTCACATCCGAACACAGAAAAAGCTGAATCGGTGACAAGTAAAACATTTCACTACTAAAACAGGTCACGGGGAAGATTTACTACATTTGTAACCTAAATGTCTCATGAATTCACATGCAGATGCAGAAAGGCTCGATCGATGCAGTAAAAAGAGAACACGTTTTCATTGTCTTTGAATATTGACTCTTTATTTTAATCTTTAAAAAAAGAGGGATATATATTTACATCATTTTGATCATTGGTGAATTACGTCGTTTTGGGATCCATATTAAGCATGTCAGAATTATGTCAGAGCAGAAACATGTTGACACGTTTGCTGAAACCTTTCACATGCAATGTTCTCATTTGTTTTGTCCCAAGCAGTCCTGAACGGTTGAATAAATCCAGGATATGTTGATAGACGCAGACATTAATGCCTGCCAGCTATTTCTCCCGTCTGGACAGACATTTGTGTTGTGTACCTCTCGGCAAACCACAGGTTTGTTTGGAAACGGAGCGGCATAGTTAAGTGTTGTGATACTGTTCTATACAATTCTGAGACATTACTCATTGTGTCCAAGTCATTAAAAAAAACACTTCTAGCATTTGAACATATCTAAGGAACAATTTTTTTTTGTTGTTCATTTTCTTTCTTTTTTTGGCATCCAGCTTTTCTGTGTTTTAGAGGCAGTAAAACATGGAAAAACTCAGATCATCTAAAATTTCCCTTTTTTGAATATTTAAACCAAATATACATTAGCAGCAAAACTGGAATTAAATATCAACCATGTGCTCTGTCGTAGTACACAGCATCCCATCCAGGTCTTTTACAAGATTGTTCCAGGCTGGCTGCACGCCAGGCCAGTCAAGTCGTCATTCTTTCCTTCCTTCAGTGCTCCTGTTAGCATGTGGCACTCCTGTGTCTTTCAGTAGCAATTCACTTCATCACGGCCGCTGGGCTTTAAGGACTAAGCAAAGCCAGACTGAAGGCTCTGACTCAGCTAAGAACCTTAAATCAATGCCTCCCACATAAACCAGACAGGAAAGGTGTTCTGAGGGCGCAGTTAAATCAACCTCCATGGATTGTGTGTCTACTGTCTGCATATATAAAAATATGGTTTGTCTTTTTTAAAACTTTTTATGAAGGAGATTGATTCTTTCTGACGGCAGGGTATTGGTGTTGTGTACACAGCATGGCATGACACAGGTTTGGTACAGACTCAAAGGAGATAGGGACCACTAAAGGGGAGAACGCCCATTTAAGTGTTGCTGATGTGCTGGGACTTGGATGATGGTGTCCACTGGCTGTTGAGTGTCAGGAGCATGGACATAAACAGATTTCACAGTTTATCTGTCAGATGCTTGGATTTTGATACAGATAGCACACAACATCACAGTAGTAGTGTAAACGATGCGAAGCTTTGGGATCACTCAACAGCAGACTTTCAAATAGGAAGTTGCCCCTCCTGGTTATTTAGCGGATGTAAAGATTGGCTCCCTCCAGCAGTTAGTCACCAAAAAGTTAGTAAATTTGGCCCACAACAGAGGGAAATGAAATCAAGCTTCACAGCGGTTTTCACTTTATTGAGACAATATTAGTGCACACAAACCAATTTTTTTCTTCAAAAATACCATAAATTAGGAATAAAACGAGGGACATTCTGAAACAAGCAAGGAAAAAAGTGCATGTTAACCATGTAAACACCGTCTTGTACTGTAGTTTACAACCTTTTTCCCCATTGTTGTCTTTGTTTTATTCTTCTTTGTGTGGGTGTGTGGTGTGTTTGACACGTCTCCAGCTTGGATGGATATAACATGCCTTTGGGAGGGGAGGGAAGGGGGGGGGGTTGTCTGGGCTGAGATCCAGGCTGCTTCCCTGAGTTGTGTTCAACAGAAAGGGTTACAAGCCTAAAGACGTTTAACTTACTATTTGGACGACTTACTGTTCATCTTTGTGCTTTTGATCTGAGATGGAAGTTGCTTTTAAAGAATGACAAATACCCCAGCAAACCCCACTATGGTAGTTATTTCACAAGGTGTACAGAAGGTGAATCTAAAGGAACAAAACCTGTAAACAATAAGGCCTGCTGAAGTCCCTGGGCAATTTTACCTTCCTTTCATAACTAAAAAAAAAGTAACTTTTGACTCTAGAAAATATAGGTTTTTCTTTTTTTGTACAACATGCCAACATATTCTGTGGGTTAGGTTATTTAATCTTTAGCAATAAAAAAAAAACATCTTTATGAAAACTGTAAGTCTACAAATAATCACATCTAACCAAATCCACAACTGTTAGCACCAAATTTCAGCCTTAACCTTTGAATATCCCAAGTGTGTGCAATCCCATTTGTCCACAGTAGCTTATGAAAGCTCCATGGTGGCTTTTGTAACAGCTGTTCCAGTTTGATCAGGTACTTGGTTTCAAATTGCTGTGAAGCTAATTCTCTATCTACGATATTTACAAAAGAAAGAAATACAATTTAAAAAAATCCCACGCACACAATTATCCTGTTAGGTCCTTGACATTAATGGAAAGTACATCTGATATGTCAGGGGCCGTTTTCAAAGCACAAGGGTCCAGGCTGATATGTACTGTATATCTATGTCATCCTATGGCAGTAAGACGTCGATGTTCTGAGGTATATTTTTTCTTGCATGTGTTGACACGGCTTTCACGCTATCTCGTCTTTGCTAAACATCTAATCTTGAGTGTGAAAAATATATCTGTTTATTGTAAAGTGCTAGGCATATCATGAATTTAAAAAAGCATTAGACTGTTTTTTTTTTCTGGTAAAAAACGAAACAAAAAAAAACATGCGGTCCAGAATTCTAACTGAAAAAAGTAATCACACCAGTTTAACATGCCGGGTTTTGGCTATTGAATACTCTCGCCGACATGGAATTTGTACAGTTGTGGTCTGGTCCTATCCCGTTCTGTGTCCTGGTCAGGAGCATAGCGTGGCTACATTGGAACTGGTAGTGTAACATGCCTATAACATGAATGTATTCGCTTCATTTAGCACCCAATCCACCAAAGCTGACCAAGTTTCTTCTATGAAAACTTCCTTTATGAGAAAGATAAAAACATGGGAATCCTTCACCTAACCACAGATAGAAAAATGCACACCAGTAGAGACCGAGTTTGGCAGTGATCTCAAGTGATGAGATGCCGTAGTGTAAACTAAGTTAGGCTGCTGGATTTGGTACTTTTAAAAGATACGAGGAGAGAAGAGTCAGGGGAGCAGCCTCAGATCTTTTTCTTTAAGGAGAGGGCTCATGTTTTGATGTTTGTTTGCTGTGTCAGATTAGGTCTTCTGTTCCTCTCAGCTCTTGTTTTGCTCTTAAAATCCCATTTGAATGTTCTCTGGACTGATATGTGTCTTGAACTAAGGAATGTTTGTTGCGATCTGTGCGTGTGTGAGGTGTGTGTGCATTTGTGTTGTTTGTGTGTGCGCGGATTTGCCGGCTTCTCACTCAGTCAATAGCTTTATCTCATTGGCCAGGAGGGTGTTGAAGTAGGCTGGATCGGGGAGGTCGGGGAGATCGGGCAGGGTTGGGGGTGTGGACTGACAGGGGGACGACTGTGAGGGCTCCGCCAGCTCTGGGTCGCTCTCACTGGAGGTAGAACCCACGCTCATGTTGCACACGGCCTCCGGCAGCGAGCCGCCGCCCGCCGGCACGATGCACACCTCGGGCTCGCTGCTGGTCTCGCTGGTGCTCGACACCACGGACAGCAGGGACATTTTCCGGGTGAGGCGGCTGGGGAGCATCGACAGGGCGAAGTCGGCGACGATCCCCGCTACGTCCATGCCGCAGGCCTGGTCGAAGGCGATGAAGCCCACGTTGGCGTTGGCCTCGCAAACCACGAATGAGCCGTCGTTGAGCTGAAGTAGGTCGACCCCACACACGTCCATGCCCAGGATGTTAGACACCTCTATGGCCAGCTGCTTGCCCTGTTCATTCAGGGGGCACATCATGCCCACGCCGCCTAACAATCCAAGACACAAGAGAGCGGTTAGAACAGTTCATCAGACACAGGGAGAAAAAGAATACTACTGTTTTCAGTGTGGAACATCAGATTTAAAATCAGTGCCAACATACACTATTACATCAATTCAGACCAAACTGCAGACAGATGTCCTAAATATGTCATCAGGCATTAAAAGCCGCAGCTCATGCTGCCCGACTGTAGCAAACCATCACACTGGCCTGGAAAACTGTCACTAAAGGACTCCCAGGTGGATTTAGCACCAAGAGTGGTCGCAGCAGATGGAAAATCTGGGCACAAATTTGTACAAGTGCAGCGGGGGTTCAACGGTGTCTGTCACAATGAGCGCCATCCAATCATTCTGTATGTGCTAACAGATTGAAAATGATTTAAATAGTCAGCTACTGCGAAGCGACAATGTTTTCAAAAAGTTGTGTTTCGCTGCAGCGGTGCTGTCGGCTGTGAAACGGGATGGGGAGAGATCTCGGCAATTAAATGTGTGAGCGCTGCCTCTCAGGCGTTCTGCCTACCCAGAGAGCAGTTGCTCTGCATGCGTCCGTCGGTGGAGCAGCGTAGCATGGAGCCAATGACACGGCCGCCCACCAGGACCACGCGTACGTCCCGGCCGTGCGACTCCTTCACATACTCCTGAAACAGGTAGGGGGTGTCATGGCGGATGAGGTGGCACAGATCTGTCAGGTGATGTTTGTCCCGTGCCAGGAACACAGCCTTGCCTAAGAGAAGGAAGGATAAACTAGATGAGGGAAGAAAGGAAAGATGAGCTAGTCTTCAAGCTGTTACAGAACACAGAACCTGTTAACATGAATGTGAAATCAAGATGGCTAAAGATCAGTTCATGTGTGTGATGCAAGCTGAGGCTGAACGGCTCCTTAAAGTTTTGATGGAATGGACAGGGCTGCTTCTCGGAGCTGACAGAAAAAAGATGGCAGTTTTAATTAGCACCACTTAGCTTTGTCTCCTTTTTGTCTTGATCTCTGAGCTCTGTTCCGAGGAAAATCATGCCATAGCCGTGTATCAATGCCCTGTTGCTTTTCCAACAGAGTGAGAAGACAAACCCTGGACAATATACAGCAGCAGCCAGCATGTTACCCCCCACAGGGCGAGATCTTTTTTTGAATAAGACACTTTGAGAACAGATTAATATCATCAAAGCTGAAACCTCGTTATTAGCAATATCTCACATCCAAACGACTGACCTGCAAGAGCACCCTAAAAGATCAGTTTGGCTTCTAATTTACAATGATTCATATCACTCTGACTCCATCCTTTGTACTTGTTCATAACCCTTATTTGAGAGGAAGACAAGCTGGACTTGAGCCAGTGTCAACGCTCAGGCCGAAAACAACCCCTGAGACACTGAATTCCACCAAAAGGGTCGAGCTAGCTGCTGACCAACGGCTGCTTTCCCTAACAATGTGCAATGATGGTCTACAGAACACCATTGTTATTCCTCCTCACAATACAAGAGCCTCTCAAGTGCTGATACCTATCAATGGGAGATAACAGGTTAGCGGGGACTGGGGCTGGCCTTTTGTAAACACTGCATTCATGGCAAGGCTCAAACAAACCATGCAAATCCTCAGGAAACAGGGTAAAATGAGGAAACTCGTGTCAATATGTAAGACAGAAACACCAACAAGTGTTGTTTTTGTGCTGCAAACACAACGTTGCTTTCATGTAAGGGCGAACTAAGTTCCCACCAGGGTGGATATTTTGGAGTAAATAATGGCAGGAAGTAACGACTGACAGTCTTACCTCTGTGGCCGCGTGCATTCTTCACCACCACCGGGTAGCCCAGTGGCTCCGCCTCGTCAATCATCTTCCGGAAGTTGTCATGCCCACCTGACAAAAGCCAGCAACACATTATTACAACCTTATCTTGTTTTGATGGCACAGTTCTCACATTACAACTGAGCGGGCAGACTGAGGAGAGGGAATGTGGCCCGTCGCTATGGAAACGGGATCGAATCAAAACAGCCAGGCTGGCTGCCGGAGTGCTGCCCTGAGCTAAGACTCGCAGCTTGATTCATGAGACTGGAACAGAGGAGTCACTGACCAGTTCATTTAATGTGAGGCAGCTGAGCATATCTGACAGAGAGTTATAGTGACAGCTCGTGTCAACAGATGTTCTCGCGCTCTCTGCGCTTCGGCTTCAGAGGCTACGACCAAAGAAAAAGTGTCAGAAATGATCGGAAAAATAAATGTTAATAATCTATTTCCAGATGCATCCCTTTCTCCGGCTCTCTGTTATTGTCTCACCAACCCGGCCTTCCTGTCTGGCCCTCTTTGGCTTTCAGCCGAGGGAACAGATGCATGAAGCCTGTCAGCTTGGCTCTCGCCTGATGAACTAAATCACATGTTTCCGCTGAAGGGGGGGGTGGGGTCATGGACGCCAAATGCGCTTACAAATATGTTGTAAGCCGCTGCGGCAGAGGCAGCTAAGTAATTGAATGTTTCTTTTTTTTTTTTGAAGAATCATGAAAGGGCATGGGGTGGGATATGCGTCCATGATGGTGGGGGGTGGTTACATAAGCTCTCCAGCTGCTCTGCATGCATCGCCTGGCCTACTGTGCACTGAGACGCTTGGAATGTAGGCCAAACAACCCCCCTTCCCTTTTCTTTCTTTTTTTCCCTTGTCTCTGTCTGTTTCCTTCTCTTTCTGCCCTCAAGAACACCACAGCAATGTGGATTTTTGATTACCTAAAAGAAATGTGTGCTGCTGGTTGTCAGTCTTTGTTTTGTCTTTAAAAAAAAATCAAAGAGGTAAAAGGAATAAAAAACTGTTGAGGCTTCGCTTTTCAGCTGTGCTGCCGGTATACACGGCAGACTAAACTATCCTTTGCCTTGACTCTATCTGTAGAACTTAGAGGAAGTTAAACTGTAACAGCCAACCATATCAGGTTAGTGACAATGATGTTGTGTTTCTTTCCCATAAAACACAAACCCCATAAGGCAAACGCTGGTTCTTAGTCACTCATTGAGTGGCGGGCTGGCTAAAATATTACCACATGGACAGAAAAAGCACACTACGTTAACACTGTGAGAGACACACATGTCTGGTGTGGACGTACCGTAGGAGAAGGTGTCAGGGAGGGGCACCCCGTGGCCAGCTAGCTCCTGAAAGGTCCAAAACTTGTTGACGCAGTTGAGTATGGCCTGAGGTCGGTTGATCAGCCGACAGCCCATCTTCTCCAGGTGCCGCAGCACGGTGATATCACTATCAGACTGGACCCATGGCGTGGGCACCCGGACCACCACCACCTGTGGATAAGATGTCACCAGTTCTTGCTCCACTCGTAGACCTGGAGGGTGACATTAGGGAGGGGATAGAAGAATGGGTGAGAAATTATCTAAAACGATTGGAGTCAGAACTTATTTTCTTTACCTGCAAAGTTAAAACGTGATACTTTTGCGTCTACAACTCCTCATTACCGTTTTACATCTTAAAAGCTGTAGAATATTTTCAATTACAGCCCAGCCCTTCTTTTGACTAACTGCTCATTATTTTTGATGCTGTCACAATGCAGAGTTGGCATATTCTACCCGATCAATGTCCGAAATTCACTGCTCTTTGCTTCATTAAAGGCCAAGTTGACCTTTGTTTCCAGCTTCTCAGCCTGACACAGCTTTTCTTATGCAAATGGAGGCAAAGGCACAATAGGCTAACAGAGCACATCTGAATAGGTCATTGATCAGCTATTTCAATTCAGCACAGTTTGTGTACGCTGTGAAAAACAACAATCTGAATGTGCGGGGCCGAACGAGATTTTTTCGCCCCACAGATGGCACATTCGCCTGGGCAGGGACGAAGACATGGTGGATGTGGTGAGTTGTGGCGATTTGTCATTGTGGATGAGCCAACCAAGCCAGCTCATCAGAACAGAACAGATTAAGTGACGGCAAAGCCAGTTTGCACTTGCGTGCATTCACATGTACACTACCTAGAACTACAACTACCTAGAAGAAAGAGGAGGGGGAGAGACACCTAGTCACTGGCAAAGCACTTCCCCCAGCCATGACGTGAATTGCAGCCATCTTAGAAGCTAACAGCTCTCTACAGAGGCAGCAGCACCGGTTAGGCCCACAAGAGGCAAATACAGCAGCTACTAACGTGTCAGGAGAAGCTCCAGCTTACGTACTGGCGTTATGCACATGCTGCTCGTGTCTTCAAAGGCAAGTGTAGGCAAAAGGCACCATGCTAAAAGGGTCAGGGATGTCTTGCAGCTAACAGCGAGGGGGGTGGGGTGGGGAGGGGCAAAATGTGGCGCGTGAAGAAAAAAAAAAAAAAAAAAGAGCATGGAGCTATGAAAAGATCCCCACCCCGGCTTTTTTCTCCTCCTCTTCGCACTGTAAGCAAAGAAGCAGGAGGATTCAGTGCCTCTCCAACCCCATTCAGCAGTCTCACACACAGCACTGATTGTGCAGCCTCTGAGAGCTCTGCGAGTGGTGTTACAGTGGGAAGTGTCAGGGGATGCGGTCTCATGCTTTTTGACAGACAGTATTCACAGCACTCGTCTCTGTCTCCAGGGGGACCAAATGGAGACCAATGAGGCAGCCGGATGAATCAGCTCTATTCATCTGTGCAAGTGTTTTGTGCTTTACACTGTCCATCATGTGACCGTGGCCAAAAAACATTCAGAGATCCCGACAGTGGCAGTGCACAACGATTTCAGCCCATTGGAGGTTTTTGGTCCGAACCTCTATATTTAGTGTGGGTGTGACCTGTTCATGCTCAGAACAGATGGGATTTTTTCCCCCCCTCCCCAGATTGATGGTGCATAATGTATTCATTGTTCGATGGACTGTATAGGTGCATCCCCATTTTCAATCTGCCGGACAAAGCTTACAGGCATTCTATGCATGCCGCTGCGACGTCACAAAGCAGACCGACAAACGCTGTGCCAGTGTGTTTGGCTGGCTGCTCCCGGCCGTCTCCCGGCCGTGTGTTTGAGTATCCTGTGTCCATTAGCCATACAGGGCCGCTGGTTAAACTGGTGTCTCATGGTTTGATCACTCACAGTGCTTTTACTCATCATGTCATCAGCGACGTGCATGTCGTAAAAACATAAACTGTAGTCACACCACACGGCTTATGAAATAACATAAACATTCGGCTAACACAAGCAGAACCGGGCAGCGTGTCAACAGTTTGCAGTAAGATACAACTTAATGGTTCTTACAAACCACTCACCACAGTGAATAATTTAGAGCCTGTTTTATGTGTCTATTTAGGAGCTGGGAAGTAAACTGCAGTGGGCTGGTCTTTCAGACCCTAAATATTAGAAGTAAATTAATGACGTTTTAATGAATAGACGATTTAGAAGATTTTACAATTCTTTTATGTAGACAACAACGTGCGGTTTTAGTGCTGGACATCAGTTTGACCGGTCGTACACACATGTTCAACATGTATGTGGCAGATGGGGTTGGTCCAACAGGAAACTGTTGCCGGAGGCTAGAAAAAAAGGGCCAGGAGAAAAAAAAAAAGATGCTTGAGACATATTTGTGGGTTTTGTGGTAATCTGAAACCTTACTGTGACAAACAACATTTCTCTGCCTCAAAAAGCACAAGAGTTAAGTAACCAGGTTAAAATTTGCATAGTTGCAGCACTTTTTCGGTGCTGCAACTATGCAAATTTGCTTATCTAAAGTTTGAGGAGAATGTATGGCCAAACATTTAGAGCTGATAGTTTCTAACATCTCACATTCAAATGGCTATCTGACATTACCGGATGGAAAACTGTGCACGTGGTATCGGTCAGGTTTGGGCCACTGCTACCTTATCTAACGCTAGGCATGGTGGAAATATATCAAACAAAAATAAAAAACAAGAATTTAGACATTAACAAGAGTGAATTTGGCTAATTATCCTTGAATTTCCTTTTTTAGGCCACCAAAGGAACCTACCAACTAAAGCTTGTTCATGCAAATGAAATGAAAAGAACCACGAGTTTCTCTTGAAGTGGACGTGTATTCCTGAATAGGAATTGGCATTGTGGACACTGTGTCTGAATCTCATGACAGTTGAAATGCTGGCAAATTGAGACAATGAACTCTCCTTAATAAACCGTGTTCACTGGCACAGATGTGTTACATTTCTCATCATTGGGCTAACAGTGTGCCCACAAATTCATATCCGGCCCCAGCTTAATTTTATATAATCATGGGATGCGAAATGCCTTTTGCGGGCCGAACACAGTGTATCTATCTGAGGGGCCTCGTTTGTCATTAAAACGAAATGATGTGCATGTGTGGGTGTGATCACTGATGAACCCTGCTATGGAGACACTGAACCCATTAACTTGAGACAGACTTGAGAGCAAGTAGAAAACCCCCCAAAACTTCTCTGAAACTACAAGTAATGAATGTGTCATTCACTTTATTGTGTGTAAATTTGCCTACTGGCAGCAAAGAGCAGATTTTAAAACATGACACCAGTTTTTTATTTGTTATGTTTCCATGTGATCTCTGCTCTTTTGTTGTTTCTTGTTATGGTGCGCATTTGTCAGCTAACCTGGGAAATAATACGTTAGTGTCAAAATTCCTGGACAGGCAACATAACTGATCACATGGCCATCAAATACTGCACATGTACCATTTATAACTGTCTATACTGAATACTCTCACTCACTTTGGATATAGCTGTGATCCTTATAACCATGTCTTAAATGATATAACCCCATCAGCTTCCATATTTCCTCAGTTACTTCATGTAGATCCATGCAGCCAAGAAGGCCATGCATGTGTCTATTCTATTGGGGATTATACGGTTGTGGTGCCAGTTCCTGTTTGGATTATCATTGTAATTTCCAACCAGACTCAAAAGTTTCTATGACATCAGAGTGAATGAAGCACTGGGAAGGGTATGTTAGATTTAGGCTGCATTTTGAACTGATTGTGGTCAGTGAGCACATCAGGAGCGCAGCCACAGAGCTCGTTTACAATGACATCATGTGTAGGAAGCATGGCCAATCTGTCCACTGGCAGTTAATCTTGATGTCAAGCCAAGGCTGAGAAGACGTTTACTGAAGGCAGATTTAGAGCCAATGCGGATTAGAGGCCATGCTTACAACTCCACTGAGTCCCTTATAAAGCTGCAGATCTAGAAAGCAATCCGCCAAAGTATATGAATGAGATGGCATGATCTTCATTTTACTGTGTCTCCTTGATGTTTTCAGCTTTTGAATCCATACACGTTGGCCAAAACTTTGCATCACCTGTTTCGATCTCCCGCTGCTCACTTTTAAGCCCCTTTGTTGGCGGTGACTGTGAACCCTTGGCATGACTGAGACGAGCAGTGGCCATCACCAACACGAGGTATGAGACAACATGCTGCCCAGACACACCCCTATCCATGCCACATTTCCTCTCATCTATTCAGCATCTGCTAATGTCCCCTCACACCATCCATGTGCTAATTTAGACTCTCACACCTTGTGACACAGCCCTCTTTCACACTATCCTTACAGATTCCAAGTACCGCTGCTTGAGTTCCTCCGTGTATCATCAATTAGACCAGGGCCTCTTGTCACTCTGAAATGCTGTGTTCTGTGCAAAGCTGGACAGAAATGCCAACAGAACGTTTTGTGAAAACCTGAAATACTACATTTCAAAGCATCTCTCCAACAGGCAGAATTCCCCCCGGGTGAAAAGCTAGCATGCTTGGGGTGTGATCCTAGCAGAGGTCATTTTTACAGACAGAGATATCGAACACATTTCGACACACGGTTGGCCCATCGTTGACTGGATGTCTCTTAATAAAAGCCTACCATGTAATTACACAGGCCCGGTATTGTTAAAAAGCATCCCCTGTAGCTTAAATCTGCTCCTCCGCAACAGCGTGGGGAATACAACACAGCACATTCTGCTCAATTAAATCAGGCGTCATCGCCCTCAGGAGGAGGCAGTCGAACTGGAAAGTGGGTTAGGCGGTCACTGCTGTGCTGCTTACCTTGCTCGCTAGAAGGCTCGCGGGGCTAGCCCTGCCTTTTGCAACAGTACGGCCACCACACAATGAACGTCTTGATTTGGCGAAACACACACAAAGCACACATTCACGAAACAAGATGGAATGGACCGGTACTTGCCTAGCTGCCCCTGGCTGATCGTGAGCACGATCTGATCCATGAGAAGATAGCGGAATTCGACATCCTCGTCGGCGCATCGCTCCTTGAGTGCCCGGAGGATCTGAACTTGAGGGTACTCCTGGCTGATGCGCCGGTCGGTCACGAACCAAACCCGAGAACACATTCCGGATGCGTGGGCTTTTCGAAAAAAACAAAACAAAAAAAACAAACGTTGGAAAACACGCTACGGTGGGGGGGGGCGGCAGGTGCGCGGTGGAAGCGCGGGATTCTGGGGGTCTGGCGGCAGGAATAGCACAGAGATGCTCACACAATGGAGACCGCGGCGGCAGGCGGTACGAGCAGGCTGTGATGTGGCGAAGAACACGACCACCAGAACCGGCAACCGGAGGGGAAAAAAATCGCTTATATCACCTCTGTTTCCTTTCGATTCCAGCCATTTAGACTCGTCGCGGTGCAGTTTGTTTCAACCCCGACAAAGCTAACTCAATCCAAGGGAGGCAAAAAAAAAAAACGGTTATTTTTCTACCCGCTAAACGTGTCTCTTTCAACCGAGGAGCAGCTCCTGCCGCCAGGGCAAACAAAGCTGAAGCCTTGTCGCTTTGTATTTCCGCTTGGCGACACGAAACTGCCTCTAAAGTTTCCCCGTAACGCCGCGGTCGTAGCGCGTAGCGAAGCGCGAAGTCGCCGGTTTATCACAACAACGCAAGTTAGGCCACACAACTATCTTTTTTTCTCTGATGCGTTTGGCCGCTATCCACGAGGTATTGGTGCTGAAAAGAGCACGCGCTTCGTTTACAACTTCACTTCTCCGCGTGCCCGTGCGCAGCAAACGGGGTCTGCCCAAAACAAAGGTTTGGTGGGGCGTCGACCAATCGCGACTCGCAGCCTGTGTAACGTCCAAACAACACGCGGAAAGTGTGGGCGAGTCGCCACCACTCGCACCAATGAGGGAGGGCAAACGGAAGTAGGGGGACGAGCCTGGTGAGGGCGCGCGGCGTGCTCTGAGAATTTGTGTGAGAAGTGTGCAGCGCCCGCGAGTCCGAACCGGTTTAGACCAGAACAGCGCTGGGAGGTTTGGCGACCGGCAACTGTGTCTTGAAGTAGCAAGAGAAGATGTACGGTTAAGGGGAGAAAAAAAAATAACGACGTTACGACACGTCACGAATACGTGTCAAGACACGCCCTGGTCTTTTCAGGGCTGACCTGTGGTTATTAAACATATAGCAGATAGCTTAGCATTTACTCGGCCCTATTGTTTACAAACGCCATCAAGGAACCTCTGTTTCGCCTGAGCGAAATAATGCGATTGACCCACTTCTCTCCCCCTGGCATTGTGCAGAAAAGACTGCATCGTTACTTGTAATGGGTGGGCGTAGTCTGGCAAACCACAACTCGTATTGTTAATACGTGCATTTTATAGTTAATTAAACCATGCTTTTCGATTATATCATGATAGTTACAGCATACAACAGAACAAACCTAGTCAGTATAACTTTAAGTGTGGATAAACTTATTCCAAATTGTTTCTGGTCTATGGAGATGCATTTTTCTCATGAACTGGACAGTATGTACTGTCATTTTGAAATATCAGAAATTCATTGTATTAATTTACTTCATTCTCATTAAGGGTCCTGTAGAAGAATATCATTGGAACAAAGGCCAGTGGACTTTCCTAACTAATATTCAGATGTTTAATGTTTTATATATGTTTTATCATACATTTTTGCCAACAAACTCAGTCTTCATCAGCATGGTGTAGACTGGTGTGGCACAGTCTCTGGACATGTTTTTCTGCCAGTCATCTTTCCGCAGTCATTCCCAGCAGTTATTTTTCTGTGCAGATTGTTTAGTTTCCGCATCTATGGATGTCATGCATTAAGAGCAAATGTCTGTATGACGGACTAACAGATATACTCCATCTATCTGCCTTCTATAATCTCCACCAACGTGTGAGTAAGTTAACATTCATGTTAATAATCGTAGTGAATTGGTTGCATTTCACTGATTCCTTACAGTTGTGGATACCTGTAAGCACTGGTGTTGGTATCAATCCAACAAGCTATTCTAATCTTTTTCCCAACAGACCACAGCTTTTTTCCGCTAGTTTTTTTTTTTTTTTTTTACTTTCCTGAATGCTAAAACATACTTATTTCAGCTGCTCGGTGGTGACAGCACATCCTCTGCAGAGAACTACTCAGTCTGCAGTCAGTAACTATGCCAAAAAAACTCCAGGTCAAATTGTCCTCACTCTATCCTGAAACGACCTGGTGTTTAAGTATGAAAACGGAATTATTATTGTTGTATTCTTTAGAGAATCTTTTGTGATTCTGGTTATTAGTTTTAGATTGTTTTCACGCAGGAAATCCCTTTTCAAATGTTTTATATCCTCTCATGGCACCATGTCTACACACAGAGGCCCAGATCAACGTCTGTGCTCCTCTGTCCCTTGTTCACGTCAAACGTCCCGGACCTCACATGAGCAGAGGAAACAAATTGATAAATGATTTGAACTCTACCAACATTCAGCGTTTTTTCATTTTTTTCATGTTGTACTTCAGGACAAAGTTTCAAATGTTTTCATGCATTGTCAGGAAGGTGCAACCTCATACAGAGTGCTCTGTAACACATCCTGTATTAGCTTTGGTAAAAACTCAGATTTTTATTGCTAATCTCTCTGCCAGACCTGGAGCGCTCAAATGACTGTTCCCCATAGACAGACTGTGCAAGTACAGTGCTCCCTTCATCTGCCATCATTTTGGAAAGACCACTGCATTGCTGATTAGTGCCACTGATTTTTCTTGGAGTCACTGATCGTCCTGAATGCTTTCAATCTTTTTTAAATTTCATACTCATGGTTTTCTCTGTTCACGAGGAACTCTGTTTCTCTGAAACCTTGGTAATTTAGTCACTGTAATACACTTCTAATCGATTACTTTTATTCTATGGTGGAGTGTGATTATGTACTGATATAATGTTATTTTGTTTGTGAGTCTTCATCTTCCTTCCCTGTAGTCTGCCAAGACATTTAACAGTTTCCCCTGCTTGATTACAGTTTTTCTGGCTTTTGTGTTTGTGAAAGTGTGATCCACTTGTACTTTGTGTGCCTTTTTTTGTTTTTTTTTCTCATCAAGCTTGGGAAACTTAAACAATGTGGCTGAAAAATAACCAGTATAATGACCAGCGGATATCTGACTGGAAATAAAGACTTTATCAAAGAGAAAGGTATCGCTTTTATATTGCAATGAATGTTGAAAACAATGTTATGCTTAATGACATGGTTTACAATAAAAGAAACCTGTTAAACTGCCTTTTCCCTTGTTGTAATGTGGGTCGCCTGGTGGGTTCTGTCTCGCTAAAATTGGATTACGTTTCACGTCACACATCAGCTCATTAACACCAATAAGCCTTTAAAAAGTAGGTTTACACCTGTCAGGACGATCAGGAATGGTTGAATTAGCTCATGGCAGGAAATGATGTCACTCCATCAAATCACTCGTTTATTTTCTACAGCAAACCGAAGTTCCTGTCTTTTTCTCTAGCATATATTCGGAATGCAAACACACACAGTCTTGAGTGGACAGGTTGTGACCTTGGCAGAAGCATGTTCAGCTGCTCTGATCTTTGGGTCGTCCCCACCAGTCGAAACGCAAGAGAACATTCAGAATTGCATCACAAGTGAAATATCTGATTCTCTTAGTGTACTGGGTAAATTTATTGTAAATATATGTAAATGGAATGCACATTAGAAAAATAATTTAAAAAACAACTCCCAAAGACCTTCGACCTAATCAG